GGGCGGCTGCTGCTGCGGTGCCTGTGGTCGTGGGGCTCCGGGTCCTGCCCAGGGCGGTCAGCGGTTCTGTGGAGCGTGTGCTTGAAGCAGCCGGAGCGTCTGGCACGGCGGTCCCGGTGCTGCGTGCGGTGCTTGGCTGCGGGGAGGCCGCGTGCTGCGGGTCCTTGGGTTTTCCACTTCAGCTGTTCTGGGGTGCCGCCCGCCTGGAGGCCTGCGCTCGGCTGCTGGCCTTGGCGTTTGTCTAGTCACGCGTGGAGAAGGCGCCTGTCTAGGTCCTGTAGAAGAGAAGCTGTAATTCAATACCTTTTTTGGTATGATGACCACGTAGCCGTGTTCATCTTCACGTGTGGGAGACTGGCTTCAGCTGTGGAAGGCTGGCTTGAAATGCTTGTTTCAAAGCAAAACGGCTGAATAGTGTTATTTTGAAACGTTCTCTCTGTGTTGTTAACTGTTCCTTGTTCTCTTATGTAAATTTGAGGTGTATGTTTCAGATTTCTCTTCATGCATTCATGTATCCAGCAACATAACTTGGCTGACTCCGTTGCATAGATGAAGTAGGTAACTGAGACTAGTTAGATGGTTTGCCAGGAAGATCTCTTTGCTCTCAAAAGGAAGGAAATATAAGAAACATACCAATGCTGCAAAACAATGTTACTGCATTCTGCATGTGCTCTAGGAAAGCTGTCTTGTGAAACGAATTAGAATGTCAAGATATGAAAACCACTGGCTGGTATTCTTTGGGTTGTTTCCAAGATTCCTCTGCGTAGTTGCATAACAAATTTGGAAGTGCTTTAAATGAAATACTTTCTTTTAGTTAGTGTGAGAGTCAGTCTGAGTCCTCATTTACCTCGTCTTTATACTTAAGATGATGCAAATGCTCTATCTCTTATACAATCTCATTGTCCTGATTAAAAGTTTACTGTCACAGATTTGAGACTAAATAAATTGTGCAGCCCTGTTAAATGTGGCTGTTATAGAATGCGTGTGCAAACAGAAGTTCAAGTACGTGTACATTCAGGAGGGATTACATTTTAGGAACATACACACTGGCCGTTTCCTCTGTCCATGGTTTCCCTGAATCTAAGGTGGAGGTCTGTCCTCTAACCAGTAAGACACTGAAGGATTTGAACTGCTTGCTAATAGCTTAATAGGACTTAATTCTAATATGGGAGTCCTTTGTAGTTGTTCTGAGGACTTGCTCTTGAAAGTGCACCTCGCATAGCTTATTTTCAGTGTACACCTTGGTTTAAAAGGGTGATGGTGGAACTTGGGAGCTTAAGTCATAGACAACTTATTGCGATCAGAAGAAACCTATATACTAACTACTTAGTAGCACTAACGTGATGTAAACGAGGGGCAAATATATGCTTCCATTGCTTTCCAAAAGAAGTTGTACTTTTATTATGTGTAGATTAACGTAGGCCTTTGCTGTTTCTAAATTGAAGCCTAGTTTAGAGATTCCTCTGTCTGAACTTGTTCTGTCTTCTTAAATGTCTAGCGTTACCAGATGTGGCAGAAGATAAAGTCTCACCAACTAGAGCTCGGACCATGAAGGACTATGAAAATGTAAGCAGACTTTTAATATAAGACTTGGTGACAGATTTATGGCTAAAACATTTCTAACGTTGGTTAAAGTGTAGACTTTCTGGGTCAGGTTCTTAGTTTGTGTCGGTCAATGCAGATCTATTGAGGTGTGGGCCAGCTGGCTATGTGTGCTTTCAATCTCCCTTTATTCAGTATTGTTTTAAAGAGGCAAGAATTTGTTGTTGAGACTAGCCAAGTGCTGCTTTTAACTTGTGAAACAAAAATTGGCACTCTCTGCTCTAAAGTTCATGCAGTCATCAGAAACAGAAGAACTTGGTTTGCAAGTCTGCATTTGATTTATTTCAGGGAAGCATCAAGTTTATTTTCATTTAAACTAATACAGGATTTAGCTTTAATTCATTGACTGCTGTGACCTTTTACCTTTATAATTATGTATGAGTCTGTTTGGAATACTTTTGTTGTAAAGGTCTAGTATCGTTGTGACAGTTCTCTAGATAAAACCGTTTTTAGCACTTACTAGAATATAAAGGAAAACATTAGATTTTTTTTTTAATATATTAATGGTATTTGTTATTTAAATTGAAGAAGCCAATTGTTTATGACTGCTGAATGATGATTTGGTTGGGGTATAGCTGTGTTGCAGGACACTCTCCATAAAAAGTTTTAAATTATTTAACTAAAGTTCTTATGATTGTGTGAAGAGACTCTAGTGGGGAAAGCAATCGAAAATCTGAGATGACTGCTACAGATAAAGGCTGTGGCTCGCTATCTTCAGGATGTATTGAAGTGTCTGCAGTTTTTAGTGTGCTTCTGTAACTGCTGTTACCTTTTGTAGTGTTGTTATGTCTGAAGTCAGTGTTTCTTCTAAACTCTTTCAGTTTCTTGTGGCCTTATATCCTTCTGAGGAGAAAGCTATGCTCTTTGTTCCGAATTTAAAGCTTGTTTTGGAAAGCCTTCGTGAAAGATGTCTTTTACAGTCTGTATCTATTTCACTTTCTCTTTTGTTTTTGTGTATTGACTGGAGCAGAATGACACAGCCTTGGTGTCTGTATGTGCGTAAAATCTTTAACTGTCATATGTGCCACAGACCTCAGTCTAGAATATACATTCTGCAAGTGGTTTATTATCTGCAGTGTTCCTTTGCACAGGGGAAAAAGTTTTAGAACGGAGCAAAAATCTGTTGTTGTTTGTTCTGTGTGATGTAGAGGAGAAAAGGTCTCCCCACAGATCTCTGGCTTCCTGGTGTATACAGAGGCCTGACATTAAACTGAGCTGTAAAACTTCTCGTAGGCTTTTATGGATGCCAACAGTATAGTGAAGCTCAAAAATCTGTTCAAGCAAAGGAGGAAAAATCCATTAAACACAACTAAACACAGATATTTCTGTAACTTCTGTTTTTGAGTCTTACTGGTAGCTGGAAGGCTAAACTTGAGAAAGGGAACATTTACTTTCTTCCTCCTTTTACTATTTACCGAGCATCCAGTTGTAGCTCTGTTTAGATGCGCTTTTGGACTGACAACAGAGGGCTATTCTTATCCCACTTTAAAACAAACCTGAATTAGTGGGTGAAGTTCCTGATATCTACTGCTTGGAGATGGTTTGTGTGTATATGTATGTTAATGAATTTGCTGATTTTTGGGGCTATGTTATTTATACAGGATATGAGATGGAGGTAATGAAAAGAGCCTTGCAGCTCAGAGAGAGTAGGATGGGTATAACCACCCTTGAAGGGACTAAAGAGTAGATCCATGTAGATAAGGTCTTTTTATTTTTATGCCTGGAGAAGATTCTGAGCTAGACAATATTAGAGATGTAGTTTTTGGGTTTTTTTTTAGTATTTGTGGTGTGTTCCACTTTCTGGCAATATGGGGGGGAATCACCTTGTGATAGAATATATGATTACGTGGGCAAAATGAAAGGCATCTTGAAGTGAGGACCTTGTTATGGTTTATTAGATGCCCATGAATAGAAAGGATGATTGATACCAAGATGGGGAGCTAGTAATATTTGTTGTTTTTTTTCTTGTCTCCCCAAGCCCACTTAGTTCGAGTTTTGTTGTCTTGTAAAATGGCCTCTGCTGGCAAAAACTGTGCTGTGCTGTGAAACCACAGGCTCTGCTGACAGATGCCATTTTGCATAAAAATGGCTCTGTGCAGACTTGGAAAGGAGCTAAACCGAGCTAGGCAAGTGTTATTTGCTACTGTGCTGTCTGTGGTGTGGAATATTCTGTGCACAGTGTATTGCATTATCCTGGTTTTTCAAGAAATGTCTTCTATTTATCTTCTCTTATTCCTTTTTTAAATACAGAAATCAAAATGCATAAATGAATAAAGACCAAGTCTTTAAATGCATAAATTGAGAGGATTGCCATTAAAATCCCTTTGTAATATGAACTTATTCACACTTTACAAGTTGTCTTTTATTAAGCTATAACTTTTTAGTTGTAGTCTGCCTGAATTAACTTTCCTTTGAGAAACTACATGTCAGAGACAACATTTGTTTCACTTCTTGGTTTATGATTGCATTAGTCTGTTTTGTTTGCCTTTTGAAAATAGTACCCTTAAGCTCTCTGGTTAATTCTATTGCCACTGAAATACACGTGAGTAGAATTAAGGAATTCCGAGTTCTTTTGCAATTGTTTTTTTCCTTTTGACTCAGAAATGTATTGAATGTGTGAAGACTAACTAGAGGTTCAGCTGATACAGTTTCATAATGTCTTTGGCGCTTGGACTTTTTTGGAATGAATAAACAGAGACTAATTTAGGAATGATCTACTGACAGCTTAAAAAACCCCCACAAACCAAACCAAACGCTGTAAGGTCTGCATTCTCCAGTTGACCATAGTGCTGAACTTGACAGCAAGACATGCAGGATCTAGCCCAGTTCTGCAGCCTTGCTTCAAGAAATTGGTAATTTCTTTGCTTACTCTGAATAAAGATTTCAGTTTTGAACAGTATTCTACATTGGGCTCTGTGACTTGATGTACAGTCGCATTGTTTTCGTGCTTACATCCGTCTGAATGTTCCAAACTAGTCATTCCAGTTACTCAAGAGACTCCATGATACTCATGAGTTATCACACTTGAAACAGTTACAACTTGTGTAGTTCAAATTTATATCCAGTACTGTTTGTGGCCAACCAATTGGAATTGTAGGGAACCAAAGATAAAGTTGAATGTATGTATTGGTACTCCTTCTAAAGACAGGCTTCTTCAGGATGTGTGGATGGACCACAAAGTTTGTGTAGTCAAGCGTATGTTCAGTTGCTTGGATGATACTTACTTGTGTGAATAATGACGAGGCATCTTGCTGGGCAAAGATTATTAAACTGAAGAATTGTTTGCAGATGCAGGTTCTGAGTGCAGTTATAGAAAATAATCTTGGGTTTCACGAGTCGAATATTTTAAGAACTGTATTGCTAATAATTTTTACAAGTGGTACTATACGATTCTGGAAAAGCCTACATAAATATTTTATTAGTAGCTCTGTAACATATTAGATTTCCTTTTGCTGAAAGCATCTGGCAGGGGACACAAGTCTCATTTGAATGAACATTTTATGCTTAGTCTCTTAAAAAAAATTTAGGGGGAAACTCCTTTCCTTAATGAAACCATCAACTATGTTACTGCTTCTAGTAGGAAGGCTAAAATTCATAAGCAATTTTTTCACAAAGAATTGCACTGTGAAATATGGGATGGGATAAAGGTTTTATTGGTGTTTGATTGGGCTCACGTGTCTTGTGTGCTTGTGGCTTTTCTTCCTGTGGATAAGGCTACAATTCCAAGCTTTTGCCAAGAAAATACTGTGGTTTCAACATGACGTCTTGTATTTTGTTCAAGTTCAGTTTTGTAGATGAATTAACTACTTAATGTTTTTGGATTTAAAAAAAAAACTCTGTTGGATTCTTTTTGTGTGAAGTCAGACAATGTTTTAGTACTTAAAGAAGGAATATTCTAAAGAGCACTGTACGTAACGGCATGTATTATAAATTTTTAAACAATGTATTTTTGTAATTGTTACTTGTTTAAGTGCTAGTGTCTCAAGAGTTTTGCAGGGCTAAAAATAAACACAAGCTAAATGATAACATCTTACACAAACACACAAAGTTTATGCATGTGCCAGTGTGTCTACATATCTCAAAACAAAACTGAAAAAACAAACTCCAAAACATTCAGAAAGGGTAGGCTGGAGCGGGATTGCTTCTTATTCGGGTAAGGAATGGAGATAGGGGGGAGAGAGATCTTATGGCTGTGAGGGGATGATGGGAGAGAAGTATGTTTTGTGATATGTGCTGAAGCTGGATAGAAACCTGTTGAAGGGCTTGGAGTATTTGCAGCTCCCTGGGTGATGCTGTCATAGAGGGACAGATGCTTCATTTTGACATGGGTATCATCTGCTGTTATTAACATCTTCATGATTTGAATGTGTATGTGTGTACATCACCCACACATGTGTACAGGTTTAACATGTCCGGTGGGTTGAATTCTAATCTTGCACTGTGGAGAGCAAAACCAAATGATAGTCGTTTTCACTCTTTATTTTGCTTGGTTTGAAACACATGACATAATTTGCTGATTTTTCCTTCTTATTTCACAGCAAATCACTGATCTGAAAAAAGAGAACTTCAACCTGAAGCTTCGTATATACTTTCTGGAGGAACGAATGCAGCAGAAGTTTGATGGTCCCACTGAAGAAATATACAAAATCGTATGCATTTAGAATAATTTAATAGAATTATGTATCTTTTTGAAGAATTTTTTTTGTGGAGAGGTTGCTTGTTTTACTCAACTTTTGAGTGTTTATTATTGAAAGTTTTGATATGATAACTTTCTTTTACGCTGCCCTAATCCTTTTCAGCAATAACTAAATTAAAATCACCTTTAAGGTGTGGAAAAATTAGTTTCAAATGTATGAGCGTTTGTAGTTATGGGACTGACTAAGAGATGTTATGTTTCCAGTAAGTGGTTATGAATCTTTGGTAGCTGTGCTACTGAAATTATATACTGAATGGTGAATAGAAGCAGCAGCGCGCTTCTCCTGAATTTGGTATGTAATTATTCTGCTTTCTGCTATCAGGCAGTTCAGTTCACCGCTTTATTCTTTCCTCAGTTTATCAGCCATCAGTGTGGTTACTTGGAGGTAGCTTGGGTGCTCCAGCTCAAAGTAGCTTCCTTTGAAGCATGTAAAGTTGTATGAGGGGTGGGTATAGCTTCTAGTTTTATTGCGCTAGATTGAAAGAATGTGTGTTAGTACAGGATTCAGGAAATCTATTGGATTCCTGTGTCAGTTTGTAGAAAAAAAAATGGTATCCTTCTAAGTTGGAAAAAGGATTTGAGTTGAGCAGTATGTCTTGCATCCTTATTATTTCAGGTTTATAGATGATAGAAGGCATTTCTTATGCCCTTTGGTGGTGCCTGCATTCTAGAAGGGAAAGGAAGTAATTTTGGTAATGAAGTAACACGTTATTTATAACAGGTGCTTGCATCAGGTCTCTCTTCTGTAATAGGATGGAAACTTAGGTCTCTCTTGATGCTTGTTGCAGTAAAGTACGTTGATGTTTAGCTGGGTCATGGTTTCAGCTCAATATTGCTGATTGGTCTTCTGTCCTGGTGTTCTACACTGGTGTCTTTCTTGTAACTGCTCCTGTATTGAAATGGTACCTGCCAACTTGCAGGCCAAGTAGTTTTTTGTACAATGTGTGCTTATGTCATGAGTAGTTTTCTCAGACTATAACAAAATAATTTTAAGATTATTAAAAACCTTAATAGTTGATACAATTGGGTTTTTAAAAGAAAAGGTCTCGTAGCTCAAATTAAAAACATGCATGAAAGCCCTAGGAACTCCCAAGCTTATCTGTATTGACTCCCCATTATAATAGTTTTGTGTGCCTGTCTGTAGGGGATTTGTCTTGCTTGAATACAATGGCCCTAAATGCTTTTTGAGATTTCTGAAAGTCTTGAACCTTGTGAAACATGTCCTGTAGAAGCTAAAATGCCTCTGTTCTCATCCCAGTGATACTTTATACTTGCTGGTCCAAGCAAAAAGTAGTCTACAAATTGCTAATAAACTTTGGGTAGGGTGACCTCTGATTTCTCTCTATGCACTTTAATTCTTTTGTCCTAGAACATTGAGCTGAAAGTTGAGATAGAAAGTCTGAAGCGTGATCTGCAGGAGAGAGAGAAACTACTCATCAAAGCCTCGTAAGTACCAATATATTTCTTGATGTTTCTTACTTAAGATTTTCAAAAACTTGCTTCTATTTGTTTTTCCTGAGGTGTTAGGAATATGAGGATCCCAATGTAGTATTTTAAGGGCACTTATCTAGAAATTTCTTCATTCCTTACAGAAATTATGTGTATTAAATGCAGAATAATGTTAATGTAATTATACTGGATGGTGTGGCTTTGGTATTATCCTTCATTCTACTGTGTTTTTCAGGTAAATAAATGACCCCCTAGTTGGGAATGGCTTAGCATTCCTGTTGCAGAAATTCAGCTAAGGGCTTAATTATCAAAACAGGTGAAATTTCTTTTTTACAGTGCTGGATTGGGAAGACAGTACACAAAACACTTTTCAGTAAGGCTGAGAGCAGTTCAGAACTAATCTAGAATGAGTCTTCTGGTTTTTAATGTTATAAAAGTGAATGCCCTTAAAATTCCTGCTTTTCTGTTAAAACCTCTTTTCTAAATAAATATTATTTAAAAATTACATAGTGCTACATTGTCTTATAGTATAGGCAAGGTGGAATATGCTCTGGGGAGGGAATGGATGACTGTAGGGCTGACAATAGCCTGATAAATTGCTTCCTGCTAGATGTCTGGTTCAAAAATAATCCAGGCTGGTAATGACTGACAGCTACTGACTGCTACATGGGCCTCAGTTGCAATGGAATTTTCTCTGTGCGGCCTACCTCACATGGCATTGAATTGTTACCAGTTAGCCCTTGTTCAGTAGCTCAGAGAGGCCTGGTTTCAAGTAGATCCTGAGGACTGGATTAATGTTTGCTTGGTCTCTCCAGGTAGCTGTCAAAAGGTATTGCTGGGCTTTGAGTGGAACCTTGCATGAGTTCATAATAGGAGGCAAAGGTTAGGGGAAATAATAAACAAGGGGTCACCCTTAGTTCGGTAAGGAAATGATAGCTGTTCTTTTCTTACAAGGTATTATCAATTACTGAAAAAGCAATTGGAGAAGTCTCAGCAGCTGTGTATCTTCAGTTTATTCCAGTGCTGCTTTCTGTAGAAAATACATCCCTACCAAAGGATCGATGTTGTATTTGGAAGCTTTAAAAATAGGAAGGAAATATTACACTTTTCGTCATACATACAAAGTTCTTGCTTATCCCCTGTGCCAACTCTCAGACTGTACCACCAAAATTGCTCTATCGTGTGTAGATGTTTGTATTTAGCCTTAAAGTGACAAGCAGGTACAGACAAAGTGGAAGACACTTGCTTGTACGTAATCTGTCAGCCACTTGCTCTTTAAATGTTCTCCACTTTGATATGCAATGGGATTTCTGTCTATATTATGGTCTTTCAGTAAGGCGGTTGAAAGCTTGGCCCAGGGTGGTGACGCCGAAATACAGCGCGTGAAAGAAGAGGCACAAAAGAAGATGCAAGAAATGGAAGAAATACTCACTAGCAGAATAAACTTTCTGGAAGAGGTGAGTGGCTGAAACTGAAGGAATAGTTAGAAATCGGTACCGTCTGAGATTTGATACTGTGATCTCTCTGTATTTTCAAAATTGTTTCAGCTTTCCTGGAAAAACAGCCAGTGCAAAACCAGACAAAAATAAAAAAAGCAAAGAAAAAAAACAATGAAAGGGGAGGTGTTTTTAGCAGCTCTTGATGTGTCAAATATGAGGATAGCAGTTCTTCTGGAAATTTGTACTTTTAGGTTCATTCAGCACAAACCTTTGATTCCTGAATTCCAGTGTGAGGGGGCTACGTTTTCAGAACTGCAGTCTCTATTTAGAGGAAGATCCCAATCCCAAGCACAAATACAGGCTGGGTGGAGAATGGATTGAGAGCAGCCCTGAGCAACAAGGACTTGGAGGTGCTGGTTGATGAGAAGCTCAACATGACCTGGCAAGGTGTGCGCGCAACCAAGAAGGCCAACTGTATCCTGGGCTGTATCCCCAGCAGTGTGGGCACAGAGCGAGGGAGGGGATTCTGCCCCTCTGCTCTGGTGAGACTCCCCTGGGAGTCCTGTGTCCAGCTCTAGCCCTGCTCCAACAGGTCCATGTCTGTCCTGTGCTGAGGGCTCCAGAGGAGGCCACAGCAATGATCCAAGGGCTGAAACCCCTCTGCTCTGAGGAAAGGCTGAGAGAGTTGGGGCTGTTCAGCCTGGAGAAGAGAAGGCCCTGGAGAGACCTTAGTATGTCCTTCCAGTACCTGAAGGCGCCTGCAAGAAAGCTGGAGAGGGACTTTTACAAGGGCATGTGGTGATAGGACAAGGGGTAATGGCTTTAAACTGAAAGAGGGTGGATTTGGATTAGCTATAAGGAGAAGTATGTAAGAGATACTATGAGGGTGCTGTGAGGGTGGTGAGGCACTGGCACGGGTTGCCCAGAGAAGCTGTGGCTGCCCCCTCTCGGGAAGTGTTCAGGGCCTGGTTGGATGGGGCTTTGAGTAACCTGCTCTAGTGGAGGGTATCATGATCTATATGGTCCCTTCCAACCCAAACCATCCTATGAAGAGGGACTGGATTTTGAACACTTCTACTGATAAGGTCTCAGCTTCATAAATAGCTGAAACCACTGTGTAAGCACTCCTGTCATTTCTCATCCTTATAGGAGTCCTCAGTATTGCAGTATAGAAAACCACAGAATCCGAGATTCCTATCTCTGCTCTTGTGTGTGGTGTAGGCTGAGAGGGGCCACCTACTGATGGCAGTTTCTGGGCGGGTGAACCAGTGGGCGCTTCCCTGTGTAGTGCCTGCATGCCTTGCACTCTGTTGTTAGATTCACCTTTCGCTGCCAAATGCGATTGGCTTCTGCTGTTACTATAACACCTTTTTGCATAACGTTCCTCTGTTCCACAGGATTATTCTTAACAATGTCTTTTTTTATTCCTTGCTGTCTGTGGTTGAGACAGTTTATTCCTGTATTTATTGCTGAGCCATTGCTGATATCTTTACGGGGGAATTGCTTCACATTCTTCCTATTTTATAGTGTAAAGGCAAAAAAACCACAACTCTCTGTATGAATAACGCACCTCCTCAGAAGCAAGGAGAAGTTCAGTTTCTTGTAAAGAGCAAATGTGATATTGAATGGTCTGTGCTGGAAATGTTTCTGTCGAGTTCTAGAAATACATAAACTTATGATTGTTTTGTATCATTGACTGCATACACTTATCTGTAGGTATGGGATTTTGTAGTTGTGTTTGTGAGGGGGATAGGTGTCTGGTGCTCCTTCTGTAAGTAAACAGAAATACCACAAGTAGGTATATTTCAATATTTGCTTTCCTATCCCTAAAGAATGAATTGGTCATGGAAGATATTGGTAGCAGTCTCCTGATGGTATTTTCTAGTAGTGTGATTTAGCAGTGCTCATAAAGCAGTAAGCTCCGTCAGGGAGGAGGAGGTGGGAAACTCCATGACCTTTTTTCAGTTCAGCGGAACTGGGATTTCTCAAAGCATTCTTCGTGCTATTGGGTAGGTAGAGAAGTTCCTAAATTACTTAGTCTGTACCAAAACAGCCAGTCAGGCTGGTGTTTCCGCGATCTGTCAGGCAGAAGAGTGAATATTCTAATCTCATGATGATACAGGTTTTTCTGTAGCCTGCAGGTAATGTTGGCCTCTGACATTAATTTTATTATGATTATGAATGTAAACACTGCAGAGTACTATTAGTCACTTGCTTACGTAGCACCATATAATTATACAGATCCAGGTAACGCTAACAAAGATTAATTTCCTTCAGTGTTTTTGACTGGAAGGTGAACGCTGGTAGAACAGCTTTTCAGGAGAAGGGGGTGAGTGGGGAGGTCTGGTGGTGAAGGACTTTCTTCACCCTCCCTCAAAGTAGTGCTTTTTAGTATAGAGTTGAAGGAGAGAGGGGAAATTACTTTTTAGCTACAAGAAGGCGTTTATTTCATAGAAAGCAAAATTCAGTGAGCACAGCAGGGAAGCTTACAATAGAAAAATGAAGATCTGAAACAAATTTTATGTAGTGTATGACAAGTGTTGTTTTTCTGGTGTTCCCTGTCTCAGTGAGTGGGGTCACTAGAGAAAGTTGACTGGAATATCTGGGTGTTATCTCAGTTTCCATTGCTGTTCAAGAGAAAAATGTCTGGTTCATACTTTATCTGTTCTTGCAAAGTATTACAAATGACATGGGGAAGAGTTCCAATTAGCTACAGCGAGCCCGTGAAGGTTAATTTCATCTCTGATTGAATAAAAAAGCGCTTCTTTAACCTCTTTAAGTGTAGCTATTTATTATGATAGTGGGAGGACAGTGGGACAAAGCCAAATTATAATAGCTAAATCTAAAGCCATAGCATAGGGGCACTTTTGTTTCAAGTTCTGCTATCATTTAGGGTATTTGTTTCTTTGAAACTAACTTCCCTTCTTTATGTACTACAGAAAGCGGATTAATCTTGAAAATGCAGACACAAGAGTTCAGAAGCATTTGCAAAGCACTTAAAATACTGGTAAAAGTTGCCAGATTAAACATACTAACATATGTTTGGTAGAAGAAACCAGTATGTGAAAAATTTTGTGAGCATTTTGTTCTTCAGTGCGTCAGGATTGTGTGTTTTTAATTACAGAATCTTAAAGCTGCCCAAGAAGATGTGGAAAAAGCCATTGCGATGACAGAGGAGGAGAAAGCTCTGAGAATAGCTGCTGAGCAGAAACTTTCTTCAGTTACGAGTGCCCCTGCAAAGGATCTGGGTGTGATTACAGGAGCTGAGAAAGACAGGTCAGAAATCTTGCCGGTGATGTATCGAACCACAGGAATTCTTTACGGTTAAAGTCTGAAGAGTCAACGTGGATATAGGTTTTAATAGTTTGATCTTACCCTCAGATACATGAGTGAGTGTTGCTGACCATCTTTCCCATCCAGCCATTAAATGCACGCAGCAGAGAATCAGTATGCATGTGACATGAGCATGTCCGGCTTTAAAGCATCTTTGTAACTTTGCTGACTTGCCTTCTGCTTGCTGCTTTCTTAAAAGCATTGCTGAATAGAACTTGACTCTACCATTTGTGTTCACTTACTGCTTTCTTGATGTTTATGTCCTCTTCAGTCCCAGTGATGTATCTGTTGAGGTTGGTAAATCTAATGGGAAAAGAAATGTAATGTGTTTGAGCTTCATGGCTTTGATTGTGCTTTGCAAAGCACTGGCTTTGCTTTGTTTGACAGGTAGTTGGAAAGGTGAGTTGTTCAGTAACTTTAGGTGTGGAAAAATGTATAAACTCAAATCTCAGTACTTGGAGGATTCTTTTTTTTCTTTTTTTTTCGATAGTAGGGTAAAATACATGCCTGGCAGGCCTTCCAATGAAGCTTAGTTAGTTTAGGGATGTGAGCCCAGAGTGGAGATCGAAAGATTGTTATGATTCCTTATGCTTTGATGTATCCTTTCCTGTCCATTTGTGACGGAACCCTGCATGTGACTGGTCTGAGTAACTGCATAATTGGTCTACCCTGGTAATGGACAGTTATGTTGGCCAGAGGCTTTCATTTTGTCGGATTTATATTATGATAGGATCGAAGCAGGGTTTGCAGTGTCTTCCATACTGTTGTTGTGAAAGCATATGGGTTGAACTGCAAGTCTGAAGTCTACAGTGGCATAAAATTAGGAAACTGTTCTAGTAAGTTTTGGTGACGCACCTTGTGCCACCACAGTAATTATAACCTGGCTCTCGGGTTATCTCCCTCCTTTCCATTTCCTGGCTTACTCTTTATGTCTGTCAGTCATCTGTGTGAATGCAGTTGCTCTCCTGAGTGACTTGAGCTGGAAAGGAGTTATAAAACCAGTCCTTTTCAGAGGTACTTCAATTGCCAGCTCTATAACTGGTGTGAAAACCTTGCTTAAAGTGTGGAAACAAATTGTCAGGATTGCATCATTGAAGTGAAGGCTGTGTGGAGTATGATGAAGAATGTCCTTTTTTTTCTCTCTGCATTTTTTTTACCACCCTTCTTGTGATCCAGTGTTAGCAAGAGCTTCTGTAATTACATGCTGGTAGATCAGTGTAGGCATTCACAGGACCAGAAAAACGTAGTGCTAATGGAAGAAGAGAATATTTGACTTCTTGAAGTGTATCAAATATTAAAGTGCAATGGTTTAAACTTGTCTGGGAGTAGCACACCTGAAATTCGTATTGTTGTAAAAAGACACTTTCACCATCTAGACTGTAAACTACTAACAGAATCACAGTTGGCTTCTTAAGCCAGAAAGTTTTCACGTGTAACCCTTCCGTCTGTCAGAACACTCAAGCGTGGTCGTTTTTGTCAGTTGAAATACTGGAAGTGTCAAGATGTGTATTGACCAGAGAAGGTAACTCTGACCTAACATTTTTTTTACTTATGTGAAACAAGAACCAGCTTAGGTACAAATATAAATGAAACTGAGTGCTTGAGGGACACTTAGTGATGGCACATAAGGATACGGTATTGTATGTGCTAAGAAGTGCAATAGATTGATAAGCTTTTTGTGTGTGCTGTAAAGGACAAGGTAGCTAAAATATCGAAGCTTAAGTGTTGACATTTGAAATGGTACTGGAGGAAAATAAGAATGAGCGCTTTGCAGAAAGCTCAACCCTGTTTGTTGCTTGCTTTTAAGTTACAGCACCTTTTCTGGTTTCTCTGGAGGGAGAAAGGGTTGTGAAGTACTCCCCTAAGTTTTACAAGTATTGTCTGGAGTCCTCACCTAGGAAAGCTGTCTGCAAGATTTACTGCAATGACTGGAGAATTGGTGGTAGATGATGCAAGATTAATATTAAAAATCTTATAATTTTAGACTTATAGAGCAACTGAATCTGTCATTGAAAAGTAAAGAAGCTATAATTCAACACCTTGAAAAGTCTCGGAGTGGATCTTGTGATGGGAACTTACCAGCAGAAAATATCAAAGAACTTACCATTGCTTTGAGGCATGAAAAAGATAGTGAGATAGAGGTGAGGAAAACGACTGAACAGTTATGTGTTATAAATCTCATGTGGTCTAGGGTTTTAAAGGTTTTGTGCATGACGGTATGTGAGCGACTTAAGCCAATTTTTTAAAATGCTCTTCTCCACAGTTATTCCCTTTTCTGTTCCCTTAATGTTCATTGGTTAGATTGTGGTTTCGTGGTTAGTATTCATCCTTATTGTCCATGCTACCGTTCATTCAATGAGAGGTCATGTTTCCCACTGACTTTATGCCTGTTTTTTATTATAGATATTGTGCAATTGCTTTCCCAAAGTATATATGTAAAAAATGCTAAATGTTAATAGATCTCTCAGTAGATGATCTAACTGCTATAGAAGTTAGGAATGTGAGTTGAGAGGTTATTGTTGGGAAGTATCTCTACTGTTACGAAAAAGCTGTGGTAAGGGAGGCAGACATAAAAACACTCATGAAATAAAGTGAAAGTCTAGCCTTTAGCCGACAAAATGTGCTAAGAGTCTGCCTTTTATTTCACTTAAAAGAGGAAGACAGATATCCTGAACGCTGAAAGGTAGAAACAGGTCTAAAGGCTTACTGTCTTCCCCTCCCCCCCCTTGATTATTCAACCAATAAATTAAAACTGGCAGAATTAAGAAAGTAATCATAGACGCTGTCATGCCTCTGAGAAATTTTCTTCCTTTTTGTTTTGGAACTTGGTATTGATCAATACCTAAACACTTTTTGTTGTTGTTGATATCAAGAATAGACAGGAGAACCTACTATGACAGGTCTGAGTGGAATAAAAAATTTTCAGTTCTGGATCTTCTTGTAATTAAATCAAAAGGTGTCAGGGAAAGCTACCCTGGTTTCACAAGAATATTTGTGTGTCAAGATGAAAACAGGGACAGGGTCATCTTTAGTAATTTCATAGGCAGTAAACAGACTGTATCATCATTTTGGGGTGCAGTATTGGAGAAAAAATTCTGATGAATACCTTTGCACAACTCTGTTTCTATATATGATTGCTTTTTAAAAAAAAATATTCTTTAACCTTCCCAAGGAAAAGTGCTAATTAAAATCTCCCTTGATAAAAGTATCTTGCTGACATAGATAAATGTCACGTAAAAATGCATTTTTATTAACTTGGCAAGTACAGTTGTCCCACCATGGAAGAACATGTTGTGTGGGGTGTTTTGGGTTTTTTTGTCTTAATTTGGACAGGCTCATACTGCGCCCAGGTAGATTTGTGGACTTCCAGGAAGGAACCGATTCAATATATTCCTGCTAAAAAGTTGAATGTAGTACAGTTTTGAGGTGTAGACTAAGGTGTTGGGGTTTTTTTGTCCCCCTCCCCTGTTTTTTAAGCCCATTTTGCTTCATTTTAATGCTTCATGAGTTACATTTGTGTTTAGAAAGAATTTACTTGAATGTAACAACTGTTTGGTTCTTACAGGCTATTAGAATGGAGCTTAAAAATGAGAGAAATTCCTTTGAGAAAATGATTCAGGTAAGTTCTACTCTTGTTTCTGTTTCCTCGACCACTTACAGTGCATGCTGGGATCTCTTCTGTTATGCATTCATAGATACAGAGAGGTTTTGACTCGAAAAGATGCAAAGCAAGTCCTGTGGTAAATTATCTTTTATGTTAGATGATGGGAAGGCTCACCTTGGTTTTGAAGCAATTTTCAGTAAAGCTGATAGGCATGCTCATCAAATATTAAAGCTGATACTCATGGCCAGCCCATGAGATTATGCTTCTTATGCTATATTCCGGGCACATCTTTAAGATGATGACTTGCATTTTGGGACTATATTTTATGTTAGTAATCTGAGTAATAAGATATAAGAACTCAAGAGAGAATGTACTTATTAATGTGCAGTTACAGTATCTCTTAGTGGGAAGTTAATGCAACTTTCACATAATCTAATTTAGTCACTTCAAGAAGAGCTACAGGAGAGAGAAAATGAGCTTGCTGTTGAAAAGAAGAATGGCTTGAAAAGGGATAAAACCATTCAAGGACTAACTGTTGCATTAAAAGCAAAGGAAAAAGAGGTATGGTGATTATGATCTTGCTGGTTGGCTGAACTATCATTGAGAGGGGAATGTGTGGGTTGTGTATGTGGCAGGGGTTGACTGATCTCACTGTAACCACTGGGAGGCTTCTGGTGGGTCCTTAATCACGGCTGTCATATCTGTAAGCAGTTCTGTTTACCTGGAGTTTTGGGTCTTGGACTGGAGGAGAGAGGAAAAAGATACTTAACTGATACTTTCTCCTGTAAGAACTTTGAGGAAAAATTTTTTCGGTCACACACTGATTTTGATCAGCTCTGAGCACCACTTAAAAGGTGTGAGAAGTGTTTTATGTTGTTGAGTAAGTGGAGCTGTCGCAAAGACAGCTAAAATAGGAGAGGTCAACATCTGAAATTCTGATTTTGTGGAGGAATGGGAAATATTTAACTTGAGTGGTAGGCAGACTAGAGAGTGTTGTATAAGAACAAGGATTTCTTTGTGCAAGATTTATTATGATGTATTTGGTGTTTTTGTTCTTTAAAGTATTTGTTTTGTGTAGTTGGATGAATGGATAATGAGATGGGATAGCTATTACTGAATCGCCATCCCTTGGAAATAACTCTTTCTACATAGTATGCATTTTACTTTACTTAAAGAATGAGGAGCTTGGTTCTGAAATTGAAGATCTAAATGCTTCACTGGCTAAGGCAAGAGAGGCAACTCACAAAGCACACATCCAAAAATTCAAGGTAAGAAGCAAGCAATTAATGTGGCTTCCCTCATCCCTGCTGTTCTCCGTAATTCCACATAGCGAGTAGTGCGTTGTATCTTTGAGAGAGAAGGAATGGAAATTAGTTTAAAATGTTAAATTTTTCTTACTTTGAAAAAATATTTCCCAAATCAAATTATTTAAATGATAGAGCGTTAAAATGTCAGATTACTCATCTTGTTTCTTGACTTTTTTTCCGTCTGTAACAACTGACAATTAAGGAAGAAATGTGTAAAAGCAAAATGAGTTAAAAAAAAGACACAAGTAGTTGTGGAGCTGAGATGTTATTAAGCTTTCTTTGTTGACCTAAGAATGTTTTGGTTTTTCTTTCAAAAGCATGGTAACAGCACACTCTTCATGTTAGCAGAGTTGAACTGCACAAGACACTTGGATTTATTAATACAATAAATGTGAAACCACGGTTTATAAAATAGTAGAATGTAGTTTGTGAAAATGCAATTTAGTAATGCCTTCATGTGTGTGGAGAATAAAGGACTTTATGATGGTAATTTATGCACTGTAAAGGTCTTAAAATGTAAAATGGGAGCAAGTAAGAATTTTATATTAAAATAAACAACATAATGTCTCTTGTAATGTTTTCAAACTCTTCGAAAACGAAGTCTGGTAAAACGAACTAATGTAGATTAGAGGCAGTGATGAGCCTTTCGTTAGGATGTTTGTTCGTCCACTTGGTCTCTTAGCTCAGCGGGAATGGAAGCGGTTGATACGCTTGCCTCTGAAGTACACACACCTAAAGCTTTTGTGACTGTCCGTACTGTTTTTTGATTTCAGAATCTAATGGAGTAGTAATCTTTAGTTCTCACAGAGCACCTCCATTTCTTCAAAAGCCATTTATTTCACTTAGGCCCAAATTTTAAGTGTGCTCTGTTGAGAAAAGTGTGTCCTATTTCTTCTTCGAGTCGTTTTGCCCTGCGTGTGAATCTGTAGCTTATGTTTGCTTTTACATACCATGGAAGTCCAGTGTTGAAACATCACTCTAATTTTAGCCCTTTCATTTTTGAGAGCTTGATTATTTTTGAAAAGTTCTGGGTTTAAAAAGTGTGCAACTTATCCCTCCTGTCCACAGAATCCATATTGCATGGTGGGTGACAGAGCAAGCCTTTCTCCTCATTGCTCTGCTACCGAGCTACAAACTTGAGTTGAAGGCAGCTCTCTGTGAGTAGATCATGCTGTATAGCCTGCTACCTGTCACCTGTGGTGTGAACTCCGAGGCCAGCTGTAACAGTATGCGGTGGGGGAGAACACAACTCAGACTTGCTATTTCATGGAAAAAATATAGTTATGACTTGGTAACTACTTGACCTAGTCTGGATTCAAACTGACCCAAAAGTAGAAAGCTTTATGGAATAAGAGCTTTGGGAACCAATGAGATGATCTCGTTTGCATTATGGACTCCTTTGCAGATCAACCTTAGTTATCTAAGGCTTTGTTATCCTGTGCTGGATGTCACTGAAAGCTGCGTTAAATTAGTTGAGAAAATTTTCAGTGTAACATTTTCCCTGTTGTGCGAGTAACTGTTATTTCACTGTATTATTGCACCACAGTTTTGAAGTACTGGAAAGAGGTGCGGAGGAGTGGGTTTGGACTCAATAGGAGTAAAGGCTTCCAGTATCTACAAAAAACCCTTATAGAACTTGAATGCTGCTTTATGTTTCAGGGTGCTGAGGATTATCAAGCTCTCCTGATGGAAAAAGAGACCCTCTTAGCAGAGCTACGTTCAGAAAACCTTACAAAGGATGCTGAGAATCGTAAACTACAAAGGAGGATTAAAAGGACCGATCAAGAGCTAAATGATTTGAATTTAGAAAGAGAGAAAATGGAGAAGGAGCTGGATGAAGCACAGCTACAAAAGAGCAGAAGTGACAAAACCATTAATGTTATTATCACTTTTTTCCTTTATTTCATAAAGTTTAAAAATAGCTTAGCACTTGTAGCATGTCCTTTTCTAACAAATTTAGTTTTTTAATTTGTATAATTATTGGAAAGGTAAATGCATTTGCCTAAAGCCAGTGGTCAAAAGGATGTGGCCAAGAAGACTGAGGAAAATTCTGGCACATAGTCTGCACAGAAAACTGTTTTAAAATAAATTTTCTTAATTAGGTTCTAGAAAAAATCATTAGCGTTTGTAAGTGGTAGATAGTTACTGTTGGTTTCAGTTTTTCTGATGGGAGAATCTGACCATGCATGACAATGTACATTTTCTATTTCTGCTGTATTTGTCGTGTTACATGACTATAGATTATTTGAGATTACACTACTTATGTTAAACTTTCTGCTGACTTCTAATGCAGAACAGGAATAAGTAGCCAGTTGTTGCAACCTTAAGCCAAACTTCAGCTTGCTTTTTCTTCTCATAGAAGGGTCACTGTAAAGGCTGTATATTTAATAATTTCTGCTTACAAAATTCCCAAAGTACAGGATTAGTTGATCTCAATTTAACAAAATTTTATGCTGTATCTGTTATTTAATTTTGCTTGCTTCCTATTCTTTTTAGGGTTTTTTAGCCTTGCTGTAGGTGTTTAGATAAGCACTTCTCTGCCCATCACACATAGCTCATGCGACAAAGTGAATGATCAGGTTTCTTCTTTTCTTCCTTTGAAAAAAGGATGCACTTTCTGCTCAGTGTTTGGTATAAAGCATGCTTCTCATCTGTATGCCTTGTCGCCTGGAATTTTCTGAAGTCTTCTCAACTAGAGTCCTGCCTGCACGCAAAGTCTAGTCCTCTTCAGCTGGGGATTAGTCTGCTGCTGTATTAAATTACATAAAAGATGAAATGAGCTTGTATTTATTCAGTGGATGTTTTTGTTCAATTATTAAATAAGGACCTTAATAAAGCAGGTGCACGTGGAAATTGGTGTCCCTGCAATATTACTTAAAACCAGTAGAGGGATCTCTTTACCTACAAACAAAGGAATTTGCCCGGTCTCCTGCACCCAATTTAGCTTGCTTTTTTAGTTGATTGTCAACTGTGGCTTGGCTGCTGTCACAAAGTCTATCTTTGGTGTGTTGTGAAATTTCTTCAGGGTGTTGAGGTTAAGGAGAGAAAGAACAGATCTCTCCTGTCAGAAAACCAGCCACAAAGAACATATTTTATTGATTTAAAGTATTTTTTATTGAACTGTCTTCCCTATTCAGGACTTTTTTCATCTTTCAGGGGAGTTAGAATATAACTCTGTACAGGAAAGACAGGAGAAAATAGAACTGAGTAGGGAGTTGCCAGGGGATTCGGAGTTACTTGTATTACAGAAGCCTATTTGACTCCATTATGTCCAGGTTTTTCATGTAAATGACTAGCTCCTTGGGGAGAAGCATTCCTGTCAAAAGATGAACAGTCTTATAAAAATTATATCCCTAACCTATTTCCTGCTCCTTGCAGAACAGCTGCTTCAATTTCAGAGTTGCTGGTACGTTTGGAAGTAGCAACATTGCCTGTGAAATGTTGCCCATTAAGTAGTAGATATGTGGGAGTAAAAAAATATGCTGTGATATTTTGCTCTTTGACAAATAGAAAACCACTTCAGTGATCTGATGCAAACTTTTTATGAGACAGCCTTAAAAATTCTGTTCTATTTATGCTCTGAGATACCTATTTATCAGCATTTCTATTTTGTTACAATAAAACTAGCAAGGATGTGCGTAAACTGCAGAAAATGCCCTCGACATCTGTGACGAGCTGCTGTCTTAGCTCTTCAGTCGCTCACAGGGAAATTTTCAATGAGTCTTCATACGCTGTAATTGGGATAAGCCCAATTTTTGCATATATCGACTTAAAAACAAACCTCAAACCTTAGAGATCCAGAGAAAGTACTTCTGCCCTGTTGTAAATCCAGTTTGTCTGGAGATGATTTGGGCATTACTGTCCTGGAATGGAAGAAGGTTAAACTAAATTGACTGCTACATCATTCAAATCACAGACTGTGCCCAGTATTAGGAGTCTTCTGGAGCAATGGGTGTGTTGGTTCTGGAACAATGTCCCTGCATCAGGGTGGACGAGTGCCCTGTCTTTACTGGAGCAACATGAAAAGCAAAAACTTTCAGTTTTGTCCTTTCCAGAAGCTGCTGTTAAGCAGTAGTTCAGCATCATGTTAAGCTCTTTGAAGCAAGAAACTTTGGACATATCTTCTTATACACAACTGATGAGGAATAAAGATCAACTCATCCTTAATGTTGCTGGCGTCCACCCTGTTGCTGTGTCTATAATATAGATTCAGTGCTTCTTGATCGAATCAAATTTACATGATTAAACACTTTAAGTATCCGTGCTCTCTCCAGGCCTAAATGTAGACAATTAGAGTGTATTTACTAGGTATTCATATTTGATCAGTTGGTTGGGGAAATGCAGAATAACTCATTAGGAAGAATTTATTATTTGGTTTCCCTACCTGCAATTTAGTCTGTGAGGGAGGTTTTGGAGCTTCAGGACTTAATTATTCACCAACCTGTTTTCTGTCTGACAAGGAGGGGGAGGCATATGCTCCAGTCTTCTACATTATACTGTTCCACATTCATTTTCTTAGTTCAACTATCATTAATCATAGGAAAGTCTCTTGGGGAAGAATGTTGGCAGAGGGAATTGCAAAGTTTATGCTCTGAGAACTGTAGGCACTATATTATCCTTGCAACTCAACGTATGGAAACGAATAGATTTTTTCCCAGACAATTTCAGTGGTCAATGAGTTCAAGCAACCTGCTATAGTGATGGATAGTTTTGTTGCAGAATTCTAGCTCATGCAAAGAAGATAATTTTCAGTCTCAACTCTAGCTGGTTTTGGGAAGGATTTAGGGAACTCTGGGGGCAGAAATAGTGGAGGCAAAGTATCTGCAAATTGCAAATCTCTTGCAGGCTTTTTTACTTTTTCCACAATTGTATGCCTGGTCAGTCCACTTCTTTTCATAAAAGCAGCCATAATGTTTCTGTTGCTTTAAAAATGGAAGTGTAGTTTCTCTACCTGTTAAGTGTTGTACACCAAGATGACTGAGATTAGATAACAGGGCGTGTAGCACTGTTACTGCAGCAGCATCTTTTCTATCTATGCGTGTCTTATCTTTTCTGCTTAAAGCTGTTTATGGTTTTCATAAAGAGAAGTCACAGGGTATTGATCACTTGAAGTTATAAGACAGGTCAAGAATGTTCCTTTGAAGTTTAGTTACCTAACAGGTGATATATTCGCTTAAAGCCTCTCAGTGATGCAATAGTATAAAAACAATGTAAAAATAGAAAGCCGAGGAGTGAACTTTGCAATGCAGTGAAAATCAGAGCACTGCAGTTGATGCTTTGCTTCCAGTTCACCTGTTGTACATGAGTAGGCTTCATGTGAGCCCCTTGAAGAGCTCCATAACTCGAAACCAAAAGACTTTGCAGTTATCAGACCATTACACTACTTTCAGAAGAGCTGTGCAACACCGCAGTTTGTATTTATAGTTAGTAGTCAGGAAGAAGTAGAAACATATTTAAGGGTTTGTGTATATAGACAAGACTTGGACCTGATTCTGCAGTTCTTCAGTTTTCTTAGTCAAGCAAGTAGTTCTTTTGATCCTGAAAAAAAAACCAAACTTTATTAGTTTGCAGAACTGAAGGTCTAAGCTTAATCATGCTTTGAAACTGAATAACATCTGAGTTTTTTGGGGAGCTATTAAGGATTTCTTAGCTGAATCCTGGTAATGAAGCTAAAATTAAGCAAGTAAACCAAAAGGCATTGTAAATGACAATTTCTATTTAAGGTGCAAAATAAACAGAAGTAAAACGCTGAAGTAGTAAAATGATGTTAAGGATTTGATGTGAACCTGCATGAAGCAAGGTAATTAAGTCAAGAAAAGGACATAAAACAGTTTGTAAAGAGATTGCAATTAAAGTGTCACTAGTCCTATTTCTTTATACTTAAAATAAGAAACAGCTATTGAAGTTTAAATTCCAGTGAGGTAAATGTAAAGTTTATAAGTGACTTCCATACGTGCAAACTATTTAAAGGGCTTATGATACTTCACAAATGGGCCCTCTTGGGGAATAAATGGAAAACATTTATTTTAAGATGTGGGCTGTGTTACCTGGTTCTTTGGGTCTGAAGAGAAGTTTAGATAGTATAAATTCTTCTGGAAGTTTTAATTGTTTAATTTTAGACAACTCCTCAGTTGTTACAAGTTTCTACTTCTCTTTTTCCACACAATCCATACAGTAAATGCTCTAGATCTTCTGGCAGAGTAAAAGCTTCTAAAAGGAGGTGAGTGTATTTGCTAGTGATGCCTCCTTCAGCTGACAGTGTTGAAACTTCCAACAAATCGGCAAAGAAGTTTGAAGTGACACAAAGAGTGGTGGTGGGAGAGAAGCTGGAAGGACAGAGAAGACACATTACAGATTTTTCTACTGCCCTGTGCTCTTGCATATTTTCTGCTCTGTAATTGGAACTGATTATTAATGATGTTAATAATTTCATATATATTTCCATCAATTTAGCGATTGTCCCAGTTCGTAGCAAAGTGTAAGGAATAGGAATTATTTGATGTTATTGCTTAGAACCCAAGTCTTTAGCAGGTGGTCAGACTTTGAAACCCCATAGATAGCTACATTTTCGGCTGGCAGAATTTCAAGTGAAGTGGAACGGGATCTGTGGGAATGCAGAGGAGAAAGCTATCAAATGCGTAACCTGCAGACAAAGAGATACTGCTTGTTACATTATGGTAGTCCACCTTGATCCTAACAGATCTCAGGGTCCTTTGGACTTGCTACTGCATGAGGCTACTGACATAGGTTGTTTCTGTGTGTTAGAAGCAAAATGGACAAGAAGTATGTGTTTCTCTGATGGGGAACTAGGACATGGAGATAATGCAACTAATCTTGGAGCTGCAGGAAGTAGTTAGCAGAGCCGGAATGAAGATTGAGTTCTGTTCACAACTTCTAATCATGAGACTGACCCAACTGGTCATTTGAAGTTTGTGCTTTTGTCAAAAGAAAACGTTTTAACGTTTCTGACGTCTAGTTTGATGCAAAAGTTACTAGTAATACAATATTCGTGCCAGAATTCTTGTGGTGTGATGAGAAAAAGAGTAAATGACAAACTGAATCACCCATAACCGATTTTCTCCTAGCAAGGGAGTAAATTCACTTAGAAATGAGTGTTCATTCTGACAGCAACAACCTCTATGTGCATGATATTCCCAACAGCCTTGGAGTCCAGTCATTCTGTATGAAAAGCATTTGAACAATAACAACGTAGATTTTTGGAAGACAATACTTGACACCTCATCTAGAAGTTTTCTTTCCTTAATTGTGTTCATTGATGCCAAGAGAAAGATACTGGCTTAAAAACATTCTCCATGGAAAGTGAAGCTAATAATGTGGGTTGTTAGTCTTAAACATTTTAAAAATTTGATTTGCTAAATATGCAGTTTCATTTTTTTTTGTAGGATCTTAGAAATCAACTAGAGAAATTACATGGTGAAATGACTGAGAAAGAAAAAGCAGCTGAACATCATTACAATATTCTTTTGAGTGAAAGCAATCAGAAGTTGCAGAGCCAAGAACTAGTTATCAAGCAGCTGACAGACATTGTCAATCAAAAGGATCTACTGCTTCAGGTCGGTAGACTTAGGTTGAAATGAAAAGTGGAAAGTTATAATTTGATTTTGTATGAGGAATTATTACAAAATCACTTTTGTATTTGGAATTACTGTTGATTTTGATGATAATCCTTCACTTTTTGTAATACTCTGTTTGCAGCAGAGACATAATTATAGGGTGTGTGGCATTCAACAAGATTTCTTGTTAGAGTTTTATGAAGCGTGTGGACAGAGGAAGAAGAAAGCTTTACTAATACTTACGTAGAATTTTCACTGTTGTGGTAAGATACTGTAAAAGCTCTGAAGTGCCTATGATTTTCAGTTTATTGTGCAGAAACTAGAAGTTGAGGAATAGGTATGGATACCGAAATATTTTTCTCATTTAAAATGAGATATATGAGAAGGGAGCTGCCTGAATGCTAACAGACCCCTGTTCAGTTGTTTTTGTAGGTGGAGGTAGAATCCTGAAATGTACTGATTGTATTCAACCAGCAGTGCAAAGAGTAATAGTTGGGGTTACTCTGTACCAAAGTGCATGCCTTGACTTATTTTTTAGTACCTGAAAGATTGGGTAGCTGGGGAAAGCCTCTGTTTGGTCTTTTTTTTCTGCTACTATGTTAAGTTGAGCTCTTCTTTTGCAAGGTATGTGAAGAACATGTGCCAGATCATCCTGGGATATTCTCCTGAATTTTGTTTGTTTTTCTACTTTGCAGTCTAAAACTAGAGTAACTTTTGTAAAACTGTCTTATTGTTTTCTTTTATTAGAAACTTGATGGAACAGTGAAGGAAAAGGATGTAGAATTGCAGGAGCTCCTGAATAAGTACAAGAACCTTCTAAGAGCCAATGAAGAACTTGAATTGAAAAATGAGGGCTTAGTAAAGGAAAAATGTGCTGCACAGTCACAACAGTCAATCATCAAGATAGTCAGAGAGCTAGAGGTGAGTTTTTCATAACTGATCATTTGCAGATAAATATGTTGACTTCAAATTGAAGAGAATTTTGACTTTGGCTTCAAAGGTGTGGACTCATACATGTTGTAATTCACCCATGTAGCAATGGGCTGTTTTTCCTTCAGGTCAATACCATCACAAAATGTTCTGTATTATTAAAATTATAACAGTTACTCTATTAATGATAGCCATATGTTTTGTGTGATTGTGGTGGTGTTGATCTGGCATCATAAGAGTACATAATACTGTACTCTGATGCATTTATATGTGATCACTAAACTCTTTACTCTCACAAAGTGTGTAAAATGTTTTGCCTGCCATAAAGAGGTAGAGGTTTGTGGTCTTTAGGGTAGACATATTTCCCTGAGAGGGAGAGTATCCACATTTTTGAGGAGAGGTGCAGAGGAGAGTTTGTGTACTTCTCATAGATAAGGGGAAAGATTGCACGGAGCTAGTGACCGCAGGAGATAAATGGAATGTGAGGATGAAAAATATAGGTAGGAGTGAAGTTGTGTCTAGGACAAGAAGAAGAGTACTTCAAAGCAACGAAGAAAGGAAATAGTACAGAAAAATATATATATTAAATAAAGGAGGACAACATATGCCCATTATTTTATTTGATGCCATAAATTGAAAAGACTTATTAGTACCTGAAATTGGAGGTCAAAATTCAGATCTTAAAATATAGAGTTAGTTCCTTCTCCCTTCACCCCCCACTTCTCTACTAGCGAGAAAATAAAAGTTAGGTACTGTTGACAGGTTTTTGAATCACTTGCTGACTCCATCGGTGTATTTTTTATTATTGTGTACAGGTTAGTGAGCAAATAAGCTGCTTTTCAAGATACATTTCTTGTCTTTTTTTCTGTGGTTTGCAACATAGTGTATTAAGGTCTCCATAAGCATCAGATAAAGTAAAAAGAATTAGACTAGTATGTAATAATAATGGAGAAAGCTATTTAATTTCTTTAATAATATATCAGTTATTAATGAGATTTTCTCAAGGAAGTTTAAAATAAAAAGTGAGCCAATGTCAAAGGAAGCATGAGTGCTATGTCTTGTTTCACATTCTGAACACACTGGTGTTCACATGCTTGATATGTCGTGGGCACTGTGATTAAACAAGGCAGATGCAAGCACACACTGACTCATGGGTTGTATGACAAGCTCAGAGTAAAGGAGCTGCATCCCTGTTTGCCAGGGTACCAGTGCAGAGTATATCGAAGTGTATGTGAATATACGTGCAGAGAAAATAAAGTCTGTGAAAGGTTGCGCAGAAATTCTACCTCCGTAAAACAAACTGCAGTGCATGCACGTAACTTGTGTTACAAAGGTACCTAAGAGTGAAGGAAAGTCATACAGAATTAATGAAAATCAAACACTGACTTTCCTCTCTACAGCCCACTTCCAGTACAGGTGTAGAAGCAGGAGAGGGAACAGTGGCAAGCGAAGCCGTGCATAGTAATGACCCAGTACCCACCTTCTAATCACAATCTATTCTCTATTGCTGGTTCACTTAGGGATTGCGAACAATACCTAATCACAACCTATTGTCCTCTCAGCTCGACCTCTGTGTAAGGTATCTCCTGTAAGAACCCATTTTGGCATATTAATCATAAGTTTTTGGACACAGATTATCCAGAGCTCTGCTCTCATTGGCTGCCTCGGACTCTTTGATGACTTTACAGTGCTGCACCAACTCTCAACAAACGCACAGCTGGATCCTCCCCACCAGAGAGAACAGAAACCCAGCTCTTCTAGCCTCACTGATCTTTAAAGTTGAAGAAACTGAATTGAGAGATGCAGAACTTTCTCTCTTTCATCATACCTTTTTACTTTATTTTAATGTAATGATAAATTTTAAAGCAACCAAAATCCAAAGCTCTGCTGGGTGCCTTGGCCAGGCCAGAAAAGATAAATGACAGTTTCTAATTAGAGTTTGGATTGTTGAGCCACTGTCATGGGCTATAGAGAGAGCGTGCGAGGGCAGTAATAATTAGGTTAGTCATGCAACTGCTGACTCTGGTGTCTATGAAGTCTTGCAATGAAATATATTTTACAGCCAAGGAATTGAGGAGTGCAATGAGCTCCATATAATTTTGGAAACTGCAGCTGGTTTTGTGCTAAATGCTCTTTTTCTCACAACCAATACTCCTAGACTTACAAAGCTCTTTTTGTTGGAGTATTTTTTAGGTAAATATGTTTCTAACACAGATTTTTATGCCTTTGTGGTTCATTTTATTACTGAGAAAAGCAGCAGAATTGAGAAAAGTGGCTCTTGCTCAATCCTTGAGCTGTGCTTCCGGGTTCTGTTGTGTTGCATGTGTGATCTTGCACGCGACACATACTGCAAGAAGGGGCCACAGTGATACGAGTTTTCATTCTTAATTGGTTTCTCTGAGCCTAAAAAAAATTATTGGATTTTCTGTAACGTAGCCTTTCTGTGATGTCTGTTTCTGGGAGAGGGAGCTTGTATGCTACTTGAGGGTGGCAGAGGGAACGCAGTCAGCTGACGCGCTGCAAGGCAAATCTGATGGTTCTGCAGACTCAAGGCACTTTCTCATTCCTGTGTGGTCAGCACATTAATTGACTTTGGTTATAATTATTCCTGTATTTGGGGACTTCATAATGTGCAGTCATGGAACTGAAGAAGACTGCGTGCATACAGTTGTGATGTCTAATCTGCAGCAGCGGGAGAAGTTACAGCCAGCGCATGGAAGTTGCGGAGGTAGCTGGAACGTTGCAGTTGATGGGTGTGGTGAGAACTGGAACCGGTGCAGTTGTTGCAGTGCTGCAGACGTGTCTAAGCTGTTGAGATGGATGCAGTGTGCAGATTGTTGCAGAGTCATCATGATTATGGCAAGTGATGTAGTTGACTTTTTTTTTTTTTAAAACAAGGGTCCTGTCTATTAAACGGTGATCAGTGCATAGCAGTTGCTTTCAGTCTCTTGAAATTGATGTTGTGAACATATGAACAGGGTGGTAGTTCTGATTTAAGGAGTTTATAGCTGAAAACAGCAATCTTTTTTGTCAATATCCGTGTCTTCACACCCTTTTAACGTGATCCTTTTTACCTGTGACACTGAACATGGCCTGGTGATAGGAATGGATGTGCTTGGTGTATCTCACCATTTCTATCTTAGCAGAAATTTCATCTTAAAGGGGTTAACCTGATGAAGTGATATTTGGAGTATATAGTCCAGTAGTCTTGCCTATCACCAAGATGGGCCATGGAGTTCCTTGGAGCCGTCAGCTATGTGACATTTTCTGTGGTTGAGATGACATCTTCTAAAAGTCACCAGCAAAGTCTTTTGCTATAGTAATTTTCGTCTTTAGATCTATGACTCAGTGGCCTGTAACAACTTTAATCTTATTAGTGATTGTTTCATTTGTGGTAGACCATACATAAAGTTTACGGCAGTGTTAGAAGAAATTACCAAATTCTGGTACTGGTGGATGGATGGATGAATCGATGATGAGATGTAGGTTATGGCTTTCTCTCAATCATTCATCCTCTAACCTTCAGAGATTTTGAAATGTTCCTAATGGTTGTTGTAAGCAAGAGAGTGTTCAGTGAGGCAACTGGAAATTCTTGTGACTTTGCCAGTAAGTTATTTATCGTGGAGGTATAAACCTTTTACTTTCATTGCTTACAATTTGAGAAACCTTTAATGAAAATAAGTTATGTTTTCCACCACTGCTGCTTTGCAATAGTATTTCAGACTTAAATATAGACTTTAATGTATTAGATTGCCTCCTTTCATGGGAATATAAATCTTTCACTGCAGTATGGTCCTGGATGTCTTGCAGCTATCTCCTCTAACACATTTTCCCTCACACCATGTGTCAAGAGGTTTAATGTTTCATTAACTCCCACAGCATTATGGTCTATTTAAGTTACAGAGCTGCCTTATGTTTTGTGTACCATTGGGGAGTTGATTGGAATAATTCACTCCTACGCTTTATTTAGAAATGACAGTAATAATGTACAAAAAAAAAAAAGTTCATGCTGTATCTTCTCATCCTTATTATTCATGAAAGATTCTGAATAATCAAGAACACATCATGATTTTGCTAACCTCTGCTTAGCTAGTTGAATTTAGAATTTAATAATTTGTGTGTAGTCTTTGACATTTGGAATTAAGAAACAGCTCATGTCTCCTATTAGGCAGAAAAAAAAAGAGTTGTTGGGATTTCATGAGCTTACTGAGATTTTGGTGCAAATGTAGAATTAAATTAACATGTGAATTCTATAAGAAGCATAGGAAACCGGAGTATGGTTCTGCCTGTAACACTGCTTTGTTAATACAGCAGCAATAGACCCTGAACAACTTGTGACAATCGTTATCTAATTTGTGTACCGTAAACTCTTCAGAGTGACATTACTTTGCCAGTGCTTCAGAAAGAGCTTTTAATTAGGATATAGTTCTGTAGTGTCTTCAGTAATAATTGCAAGGCTTGTATCAGACATATGGAAGAGTTCACTAGAACTTTTAACAGACTGTTAACCGACTAAATTAAGTCAAAAGATTTATATCTTCCTGTTGCTTTCTACGTCACTGATCCGTGTCATTGTGGTCAGACTTTTTCCAAGTTAAATTACAATCTGTGTATTTTAAGTTTAGTGACTGTTCTTGAAAGGCTGAGATTCCACCACGTTGATGACACTCCTTAATACAGGCTGTAAGATGTGTTTTTTTACATGTTTTTTTGGTGAGATTTTTTAATTAATGGACTCTGGACCACCCACCTCTATCTGTTTGCCCTTGTGTTTCTCAGTACTCGGTCAGCAGAAGCCATTGCTGTGTGCTCCTCCTCTGCTCATCTAGATAAGAAACTTGATGTGAAGCTCAGTATTTTGCACTTCATATACAGAATAATATTTAATGTGTAAATTGAACTAGAACCTAGAAACGATTGTTAGAGTACAGCTACCATTAGGAATGGTGTTAGCTGAACGTGATGCACGTGTACAAAGGCAAGGTCACTTCTTCAAAGAATCTGTAGCGTTAGGTGGTAGAAGCTACTCTTTCTTCAGTGAGATCTGACATGCAGATTACCTCAATGGGAGTAATTTTATCAAAACTTGATTACACTTGCAAAGTATTATTTAACATATTTGCTAGCATACTGTGTAAATAATTAAAAGTAAACAACAGTTGTCCTTGCTTTTGTACTGTTTACTTTGCAGTATACAGAATGTTTCAAATTAACAGACTCTTTGCATCATTAGTGTGAATTAACGAGGTTCTACTGTAGCTGAATTTTTGTTGCAATTCCTTCCTTAGGAATTGCAATTGAGGTAATAACGGCTGCTTAAAACTCCTGGGTGTAGACTTCTTCCTTGTTAATGATCTGTTCACTAATGATTTAGTATCTCTTGAGAGTTTAGTTTCCAATCTTGAGGTTGTAAAATGGAGAAAATAGAATTACCTTTCATTCTTGCTCTCCAGGGTTATCTTGTCATACCAGAGCCACACACATTCCCCCTTAGCTGTGGCACTTTTTTTTTGTTCTTCCTTTCAGTTTTCAGTCGAAAAAGAAAACGAAGAAGCAACAAGGCCTACTATTCTTCTTGAATAGAAGCAGAATATATGTCTGACATTAATACATCTACATTTCTATCCCAGTTCTTTTCTCTTTTGAGGTGGCTGATGTCTTAGATATTTTTATGTAATAAGTGCAAGCAAATACTCCTTTCAATAGCTGCATTTTTTGACTCCTGAAAAAGTGGCTGTGTGGTTGTTTTGGAGTGAAATAAGTAATGGGGAATCAGTGGATCCTTACTGAGAATGTAGCATAAGAGTCTGGATTTATTCTAATAATATACTTTCTGTGAGCAAGACTGCAGGTGAACAATTTTCTTTTCTTTGCACAAGTAAAGCAGCAGCTTGTAGTGAGCCAGCTGAGTGTGCAGAAAGCTGACTCGCAAGGAGTGGGTATCTGCTGTGTTCATCCTTTATTTGTCAGCTCGATACAGCCCATTTGGCTCAGAAATGGAACAGAATTTGCAGAAACCTCTCCCCCAAAGAAAGGTGATTTTATCCAGAACACAGATAGGACTCTTAGGACAGGGTTCCAAAATGTGTACGTGGAGCCTGGGCTTGTCTGCTTGCCCTTCCCTTCCTCCCCTCCCTCTGGAACAGCTGCCTGCCAGGTTGTGGAGTTGGGAACTTGGGAAGTGAGGATGCTCGGACTGGGGGAAAAGCTTTTTAGACGGTGATAGAAATGATGAACACTGTTTAGATAAGTGACTCACTTATGGTAAGTAAATAATGAAACAGTATTTGCCTCCTTTAATAATAGCTGGTTTTAAGTATCATAAATAGTTTCCAGGTTCATATTAGGCTTTAGAGGTGGGCAGTCCTGTTAAGCGGATTTGGATTTCTACTTCTTTGAAGTTTTCTTCAGAACACGGATTTACACATAGTTGTACACATGCGCACTTAAAAATGACATTGCAAGCTTAGTAGGTTCTTGTTTTAATTCAGGAAAATAAAGAAGCTGAATATGAAAAGTTGATCCTTGCATTAAGAAAGGAGCAAAATATTTATTCTACACTAGTGAAGACCTTCAAAGAATCAGACAGGTAAGTACCTTTTCTGTTTTGGTGGATGGTCTAAAATCAAAGGGCAAAAGTCAGAAGCTGTGAAAAAAGGTGCAGCTTAGCTGGAGTGGTGATGATGTTGTGTAGGCCAATTGTTCATAAGGCAGAAACTAGCTGTAGTGGTCTCCTTAAAAGAGAACTATTTTTGTAAGTGAGGTTGTATTATCTGAGTTATTTAAATGTTTCTGAAAATTGGATTGGATTGGAATCTCAGATGAGCCAGATTTCCCTTTAGGTACCAAAGTAAGCAGCTAGATTTTCAGGAGGTACACGTCCTGTGTTGGAATGTGGGGGAAGAATCAAATTGCAGTGAACTTTTGGGTGCTGAATGATTTGCCATGGTTTACTCCCTAACATACAGATAAGCATTATCTTAAAAGTGCCACAGTGAGAATTTTGATGAAAATGTAAGCCAGAAAGATTTTGGAGAAGGTTAAACAAAACAGAATAATTGAAGTTTGCATAGTATGTTTTCAATGTAAAACATTCAGAAGTATGGCAGGAGCAAGTGCTTTTTAACCTTTTAAAATCAAAGAATACAACATTTTAGAAAGAAATCTCTGGCCTACTTTGTATCCTATTATTGCTTGGCAGTTGAGGATGAGACATTATGATAAAATAAAGAAAATTCTTAACCTTTAGGTAAAATAAATGGTTTATAAAAAATTTACTTTTACTATTATAATTACAAATACCTGAATTAGGTATCAGCAGCGTTTGAGTGCTAGCTCCTGACTCTTCCTGCCTGAAGGCAATGGCTCATACCTGCCAACTCTGTGGGAATGTGTGTTTCTGTTTTGCAGTTGGTTTATAGACCACTAAAGTCTGGAAACCATACAGTGAGTAGCACTAAAGTAGATGAGATCTGGTGTTGTAGAAAAGTGCATTAGTAGTAATGCCATCTTGTACTTGGCCACAGCTTAGAAGCTGTTTTAGATAATAGAATCTTTTTCATTAGCAGTAGTGATAGAAGTCAGATTATGGAGATTATTTCTTATCTCTGGGAAAAGAGGCACGGCTTTTCTGACTCTTCTGTTAAACAATCACCGAATGAAGGAAGAAGCCAGTTTGTTTTAATATTTCATATGGAGGGTGTGACCTGCCGTTGAAACACGTTCTGTGGGTGAGGCAATTGTCAACACTCTGTAGAGGAATGACACTGAAGTAACATAGCTCTGATACTAGTTTTTCTTAGACTGTCTTTAAAATGAGGAAAATTACAACTGCAGTTATAATCATGAGGGTAATAGGAGTTTTCCCGTCAACTTGTGTGGGATCAGGAGCAGGATCGTTAGTTCTGTTTTCTTGATACGAAGTTATGGGATGCACAGAGCAGTGCGTGTTACGCAGCAATGTGCAGAGGGTGTGCAGTGGTTCAACAACAGAGCTGGAAGGTGGAGGCAGGACGCCTTATTTCTCCACCTTGTAGTTTTATGGGCTGAGGTGTGCTGTAAAACTCCTCAGGGAAGACTTGAACCCCCAAAGTTCTGGGGATCTGATAAACAAGCCCTGCAGATAAATTCAGCTCACTCATTTGTGTAATTGCCATCAGCAGTGACATGGACTTTAGGCAAACATCTTCTTTCTTGCTGACATGTCTTCTTTTAGGAATTATTTATTTTAAGCAACCTGGATGGTTGTTTTTCAGCATAAGCTACCGGATATCAGGACCAAGACATTTCTTGTCTCTCCAAGCAGGGAATCAATGCTTTTTCTTATAAAAACCTTAACTCATGAAAAGGAGAAAATGTGCTTACTTAGCTTCTAGTAATGGGTTGATCTGTTTTTATTCTTAATTTTTTGCTGAGCATTTAAGAGCTCTCTCTTCAAAGAGACTCTTGAGTGAGGAAGAATTGGTTAAAGCGATGGTTTCTTGTGCAGGAAACACTGACAACAGCACACTTGTCAGAAGACAGAGAGTCTTTTCATACATGCTGCCTTTTAATTAATGCGTTTCTACAATATGCTGTTATTCTCATGCAAGTATGATGTGCATACTGAGTTCTTGTATAGTCTCCTGTAAGAAGGATTTAAATTTGTTTTAAAGGTTCTTGAATTCTCTGGCATTTAGTGCAGTGCGCTGGAAATTCTACAGCAGCTCAATTTATCTTAAAACACTGAGGTTCTGAGTGAAGTAAACGTGAAAAAAAAATAATACAGTCAGTTTAGTAACACCTTGTTATTTGTTATTGAATCCAATTTATTTTATTTTATTACAATTTCAATTTTTAGTGTGCTTAAGTCTTTTCACGGACTGATCAGAACTGTCGGGTCAATGCTGTTGGAGGGTCTGGGGAAGATCTAGCAAGGGGCAGCCAGGGGTGTGCGAGGCCTGCAGGGCAGTGACTGATGCTAAAGTAAGAGCTTCAGTGGCTGCCTGGGAAGAAAGCTGCTTAAAGAATTAGTTCACATTGGCAAATTATCATTTGTAAGTTTTGGTGTTTACAGCCCGTTGAGATAATTGAGACAATTTAGACCTTAAAAAGTCTTTTTACAGACTGTCAGATAGATAAATGAAGAAATAAAACAATTGGTTGTGTCTGGGTCATATTTTCAATGAAACATGTTTGTTTTTTTTTCTTAAGTGGAGCATTAGATTATATAGTATAGTTCTGTATCAAGAAAACAAAGTTTCCATGGTCACCGTATAATGGAATACACAGAGCCATCAATATTACGTGATGATGATATTTCTCTGGCATACTTCTCAGAAGTTAATAATTTTGATTTTCCTTGAAAAGAATTACACAGAAGTTGGCTGGTAGAATATATCTGTCATGTTTAAGCTGACTTACAGGCAGCACAGCTCAAAAAAGGACGTGTATGTCAAGGTTTAGTCTTGTCTTTCTACGTAGGGATCTGTTTATTCTTATGCATCAAAATGATGTACTTTCTGATGAAAAACAGTGATGGCTAATGTGAAGTGGGCTCTTTGTGGAAGCCCACATGTATAAAAGATGCAGAAGTGCACAACAAAATGTTTTGACTTGAATCTTGAAGATTTTTTTCTCCTTTTTTTTTAGTATAAATAGCTTGCAAACAGAACTAAACAACATTTTCATGTTGCGAAAACAACTAGAAGACGACATTTTAGCTAATCGGAATCTACAGAAGGTCTTAGAAGATCAGATTAAGGACATGAAAAACCAACAAGGTCTGTATACATATGCAGCCCATCCCTTTTCTTGATTTTCTTGCATAAAAGAAAACTGGTTTTATTAAAGTCAGTTTGCTGCAATGGAGAAGAAATGTCTGAGAGTAGGAAAAGATGTGAAAAGACTTCTTTTTGACTTTCTATACTGAAAATGATGTGGGGGATTTGTAACAGAATGTCTTTGAGCAATCAGGGCATATACAGAGGGACAGCTTTTCTCTTTCCATGCAGCAAATGGGAAGAGAAAGTAAGTAATTCTGTGGCAATTCTACTGCAGTGATCATTTCAAGCTGCCTACAGTTTTGTACCCATAGAATTTACTCTTTTCTGCTGACGTCAGAGATTCCTGGATTTGGATAAAGCTGTGGCCATGGGATCACTTTCTGACTATGGAATGTAATTATTCCTAATACTTTGATAAAGAGCTTGTGTCTTGGGAAATGGCTAGGCTTCTCCTAACAGAAGAAGTACTTCCAGAGAAAGGAAAAATAGCCAAAGGTTTTGTTATTTTGTAATTGAAAAATAGTACAGCTTTTAAATATAACTTATCTTTTATCTTTTTTCTTGTACTACTTTGGAGTTGGTTTTAGTACCTACTTAGATATAGACAAGCATAACGTAAGTGGACATTGTTAAATATAGTTTACTGCATATGTACAGATGTATCTGTTTTATTCCATAAGGGATATATAAATAACAATAAAGCCTGTTCACTTACCCCTTTCAACTTAGATATTCCATTTTAGCATCACTCCCTTGACAGCAATGATAAGTGACAAAAGGTAAGCTTCTGCCGTTTCAGAGTTTCCAACCTCAAAGGCACAGAGATAATGAACAACCAGGGTAGGCCAGAGGGTCTTGTGGATACTGGTGGGTTCTCAAGAGCAGTTGTGTTGAGGGTGGGGCTGCTAGGAATGAAGGCTCTGAAAATTAGTAATCATTTGTGAAGCTTTGGGTCCTTACAGCAGCCATGGGATCGGTATCAGAGCTGGGAGTAGGATTTGCATGCCTCTTATTTGTCCTAATTTAGATATGTTTTCTCCCTATCTAATGATATATATGTATAGAATTAACTGTCATCTATATTATAAATGAACAGTTATTTATTGAAACATAACAAATCATTCCTGCAGTTATAGAGGAAAGAAAAAAATAGCTATTTTCAATTCAATTAACGCAATCTTTTGACCCAAAAGTGAAATAAATTCAGTAACTTTGTCTAACCTGGCTATTTCCCTGAAGACTTTGAGTTCATGTTCATAAAAATGTAGTTAAAACAGAATAACTATTCATGCTTTACTTATCCTTACTGAAATTTATTTCTAATTGTAATGCTAAATATGCAAATTATAATTCAGAATTACATTTGCAACTCGTGGTGATAATCACAGAAAATACAGCCACTGAAAATACAGCATGTCTAGGTGTCAGAAGCACAGAAGTATGAGGACAAAATTTCTTCACTTAAACAGAAAGCTTATTTTCGGGGATGAAACATTTTAATGGGCCTCCCACAGACTTACTAGTAGGTTCTTATTCAAAAAGTCCTGTCTTTGCACTTTATGCTGTGTTTTTCTGCAAATAGAGTTTCTGAAATAATTCCTGTCCTTGGTTATTTTGACAGATGAAACACTGTCTTTCTGTGGAGATCAAACATCTTATATGAGTATCTGTTTAGGAGAGCGAGATCATTTAAGCCTACAGATAGACCATCTGTCTCCTGAAGAACTTAAGAAAAAGGTATTGATCTGTTTTATTATTTACTGTTTCTAATGGCTTGATTCAGCTTTGTTTGTAGTTTCTGCATCTCTCACAAAAAGAAACATTTTCATTATTTAGGTACACGGTTGGGTAGTCCTGAAAGGATTTGAAGTTCTCATCTTTTATGAACTATTTAGTCTTTGTTACACCACATGAGCTTCAGAGTCAGCTGAAAGATAGGTGGCTTGCTGCAAAGCTTTTATGACAGTTAGACGCCTGGTTTCAAGTTTCAGACTCAGTACCATTTCTAGACATCATTAAGTATACTAACTCCAAAGAGAAGTTTTTGCATTAAATATCCTGCAACGTGTATTTCGTGCACCTTTTTTAACCGTGAAGATGGTAGTGCTGTCTGATTTACACTTCTGTATAGCACACTCCGTCCCAGGATTTGCAGATCTTTAGGTAAATATGGCACGTTATAAAATAACTCGGAGGTAAGCTACTGTTGTTCCTGTTCTACATAAGGAGAACTGAAATTCACAGAGATTAAATGTGCAGACCATTGTCATGCAGTAAATCAGTGTTGGAGTTCAGGAAGTTCTGACTCCTCATCCTGTGCTGTGACCTCAGATCCATGCACCAATTTGTGATAAGGAATTATTTTAAATCTGGTCGTGAACACAAGCAAAGTTTTGTGTTTCTCATGGCCAGCTGAATTGTAGGCAGGTGTTTAAAATCTGGAGGTGGGTAATCTGAAGGAAAGAGGTTTGCCTTATGCTGAACAGGTGTCAATAAAAAAAGCCCCAGATTGTGTCCCAGTCCTGTTCTGGGGTTATATTACTTTTATCTCTGAACATGTTCCCTTCAGTAGGTTCAGCAACACTCATTAACAAGACATTTATAAACCATTTCTTGCTTGTAAAGGGGTTTGTATGCCCAAAAGCTGGTCTTTTTTTTCCAAATATGTTAATTGGTCTGATGAAAGGATTTCACTTTCTTCTGCAAACATCACCTTCTACTACCTGAGTCTGCGACAGTAATGTCCGTTCAAGAGTTTTCAACATGATTGTCCATTCAGATTTTGTATCTGTGACACTACTCAGAATGGTAGTGGCTTAGAAAGGGTGTTTCAGATAGAACAGGTTGTTTCTGAGTGATACCTCATCTTAATAACAGGGCTGGAAACTACAGTCTTACAAGTTAAGATTTCTTGAACACTATCTCACAAATATATAATTGTATTTTTACACACAGGGAGATTGCCTCATGAACAGATACAGAAGCCCAGCCTCTCCAACTCTGCAGTTTAGATTTAACTGGAGATTTATGTATCATCATTTGTTTTTGTTACTAGTATGGATGTTATCAGTTTTGTTTGTTTTTCCTTTGGTTATTTAGGTTACTGATCTTCTTTTGATGGTTAAGGATCTGCAATCAATTAATCAAGAGCTTAAGAAAAAACATCTTGGCCTTTGTACAACAGATTCTCAAGGGAAGGAATCCCTAAAAATATTAGACCAAAATGAGGTAGGTTTTCTGTGTTAAAGTAGTGAATCTGACTCTCACATCTAACATACCTTGTGGAATCACTTCTATCAGTGCAGAATGAGTGTAAAACCCTCGGGACTTAGGTTACTAATTCATTATAATAACTTTTAATGATGTAAACACCTTTAAGATGTTAGCATAGCAGAGAAACAGCTCACTGTAAGTGTTCAGTGATGTGTGAAGTTGATTTTAAGGAAACAACTTACACATTGAAATATTAAATGAGTCTGTAATATATTTGTTTTGCCAATTGAAAGGGGAGGAAAGAGTTAATTTTACAAAGAAAGCAGTATGTTACATAACATTTTAGCTATTACTGAATGTCTGCTTGTCTGCTGTTCAAGAGTCATTCTCTAATTCTGTAAAAGCTTAGTTCATATCTCTCCTGCAGCTACAAAACAGCTAGGGTTCACCGTAGCCAAAAAAGAAAGAATAGCACTTTGGGTCACTTAAATGCGTGGTTGTTCCTTCACGTAAAGTAGAGAAGTATAGGAAGAAGTGGCCAGCCTTGTGGTGGACTGCTGAGAGCTGCAAGGAAATAGTCATTGCTGCATGTTTCATTCTTTCAGCTCAAAGCTACGGCTGCTTTGAGCTGTGGGGGAGAAGAGGTCTTGGCAAAATACTTCCACTGAGAAGCATTTTGGGTGCTGGGTCCCTGTGTGTCTTATTGTGTGTGAATGATGGAGGATGTTCAGGAGGCTCTGGTAGGTTCTAGTGAACCGTCCGTCTAGCTTGTTCTGAAGTATTACTTGAAATGAGGCTGCTAGTACTTTTCTTTACATTCTGTTGTGCTAGTATTTTGTGTCTTGAATGTCTGAATTAATCGCAAAAGAGCGAAAAATTAGGAATAGTTTGAATCAGTTATGTGTAGGGATTGCCTAGCTCTAGAACTGGGACTGTGATATTGATGGTTTTTCTGCAGGAGAGTTTATACTGCAAGATGCTAGAAAAAGGATCATGTTTTCTACTGTATGTGCTATAGATGCACTGGGAGCACTCATCAAACATCACAAAATATTCATGCTTTTTCAGTTTCTAAGACATAACTCATGTTACCTTTAATTGAAATACATTTTAAATTATAGATCGACCTTTAGGGGTGCCATGGCTTTTATTAAAATAACGAATTTACATGGTACTGTAATAGGTTTGCGTGAAAAGCTTGCGAGCAATCTATTTCAGAGTGCATGCACTTTCTGTAATGAATATTTTTAGCGATTTGCCCCCTGAGCCTGCAGAGGGTGCTGCACCCCCGCTGATGCCGAGGGTGACGCCACAGGAACGCGGGTCCTCTGCTGAGGTTGTGGTGAGGAGATACTGAGCACTCCTGCATTGGGCTCAGCGGGGACAGAACATATGGGGCTACTTACTTAAGAAACTGCCTGCGGGAAATTAGCTGTAGAATGACAGAGAGTGAAGCTTGTAAAATATAAATAAACCTCAAAATTTTGGTAAGGGAAATAGAAAAGTAGAATACTGTATTTTAACCTGTGCCAGAATGATAAGAGTACTATGGAGCTCAAAAGTGAAAGAATCTGTAATTAAAAGTTTTTAGTTTAAAAGCTACCGTTTTATCAGTCTTGACAATAAATGGCAACCTGGATTTCGGGTTATGGATTGTGACAACAGTGTGTTTTGCATATTAATAACCATTGTCAAAAACCCCTAAGTTCTATTTTTTGTGTGTATTTTGGGCTAGAATTTGTTGGCAGGTAGTGCTGAGATGACACTAACATATGTGCTATAAGACGAATTTGGACAGACACAGGAAGATATATCCTTCTCGGGTTCTTAAAATGAACCCATCTTTCTTTTCCTTCGCAAAGCTGGAGCACAAATCAGATGAATCTGCATGTTGGTGCCTCTGCATGGCGTCTCCCAGAGGTCTGACAGCCCCTAGTACTCTGTTTCTTGGCTTCACGTTCGGAAGGGAAGGAGAAGGGGGAGAGAAAAGGGTTGTTTTTGTACTGTCCTCTGAACATCTGCTTTCTCCGAGAGAAACAGCCTCCGTGATTTCAGCCTTCAGGGCTCTAGGGATCTTTGCAAACCAAGCATATCAGTGGTTCATTTAGGAAAAACATTCTCAAGGTTTTCGGTCTCTGAGGAAATACTTTAAACGGGCAGCTTATCCTTAGTAGACTTCATTTCTGGCCTTAAGACACTTATTTTCTTTTAATATTTTGTTGAACATTAGATTGTATTCCTTGGAGGACAAGAAGTTTCTTTTCAGCCTCTCAGACACAGGACCATAGGACGGGGCTCAGACTGCAGTCATTTGTTGTAATAGTGTGCCATAACCTGTTGGTCTTCTGTAATAGTTTCATTCTAAGTAGCGTCACTTAAGCCAAATACTGGCCTGGGAAAAGCAAAGACTAAAAAACGTTGAGTCATAAATGGTAGTTGCTTTGGGTAGGTAAGTTATATATGCAAATAAGTTTAATTTTAATGAACAAATGCGGGGTTTGACCTGAATCTACGCATGGAAGATTAAACCTTAACAGTTTTTTTACGTTATCAGACTTTTGGCATTCCATGATTAAAACAAAAAGATTTCTTTTTCTAGTGAATGTGCTTTCTACATACCCTAATCCTATCTGTGTCTTCCTCCAGTTTTCAGGTTGTCTTTACTTTGTGTTGTCCTACAAAACAAAGTCTGAGTGAAAATACCGAAATAATTCATGCATGACTCAGAAGTTAGTTTTCAATACGGATTTCTAATAGTAAAAGGCAAATATATTGATAGGCTGTGCCATCCGGTTCCTGCCTTTTAAAATTGGTACTTAAAACCACTGGAGTTGCTTATACTGCTATGGATTGGAAGATAAAAAGGCTCTTCTCATTTATTTCAATAATAAATGCATACATTCTCTGCATACTCAGTTAAAAAAATTGAAACCCACACATGCGTTCAATTCCTAGTGTTCTTAGGAAGCAAAAATAATGCTCCTTGCAGAATCCTGTTTGTCTGCGACGGGACTGATGTGCTGTGAGCCATGATTTCCCAGCATGTGATACTGGGGCAGCAGGTTTCTCTTTTCTTGCCAGAAGTTTCAGCACTGCACTGTATATCCATTGAAGCTATAAATATCACATCCACGACCCCTAGACACCAGTTCCTTTCCTTCCAGTCCATCATCTGAGTCTCTGTACCTATAATCTCCATTTTCTGTAACTATGCTCAAGATTATGCTTTTCTTGTCTTAAGGTAATTTTTCTTTAGGCCAAGTCACCCCAAAATATGGCTGTTATACACAGCAGTGCTGTGTGATTGCCACAGTGCTTTAAGACGAAGGTTTTTATCCAGTGCAGGTTTGAATCCTCTGTGTCAGTGCTGTATCCTACCTGTGGTTCAGGCATATTAGACATAGCATCATGGACATTTACCACTGCTTTTGCACGTTTGTACTATTTGATGATATTTTAGCAGCGAAGATCTTAAATAACTATCTTTTTCTATCAGGCTGGGAAATGTTGCTATAAACAAAGATGATATAAATGCCCAATCTGGTCTTATCACAGGGGAGTGGTGGAAAGTGGTAACTGCAGGTCACTCGTGGTGGGTCCCGAAGCAGGACGAAAGACTGTCCTTGTACTTGGGTTGTTGTCTGACAGGCTGTGCCAGAACATGGCTACTAAATACAATAATTCTTTGTAAATAAGAGGTTTTCTTATGATCAGTATTAAACCAACACAGGCAAGGCTAAATTCTGTCCTCACCTCCAGAGCAAGCTGAGTAAAGGAGAAGAGTTGTAAGCGAAGTGAAAACGTTCTCTGTGAGCTGTGTATAAACGAAGCTCTCTCGGCAGTGGTCTTCGCTGCTGGGAGAGAGGAGCAACGTGCACGTCTCGTCCCTTGCTTGCAGAGATGTGGCTGAGATGTAACATCCAGCACACCAGAGGGATTCTGGTCTTGCTGTCAGCTGTGCTGATGTCAGGAACTTGGGTTCTGCTGCTGAAAAAGCTGAGTCTTCCTCCTCCTCTTTGCTCAGGAAATATTAGTGGTAGGAGATGGATTGGGTTCTGTGGCAAACAGGGAGAAAAAGATGATTTGGCACTATTTGCTACAGGTTGGCAAATTTAGGCAAGACAAAACCAAATTGTAACCTTCAGTGTTACGGTAAATCTTTTTAATGTATAGCAAGCTACATGGGCTTTGTCCTAAAAGCATCTGTTTCTTGGATGCTGGAGAAGAGCATAAATTGTGTAGCAAATGAAAATAAATTCTGGAAGTTGGAAAATAAATAGGCACAAGGAGAACATGACTGAAGATAGAGATCCTTTGCCGGAAAACGTTAGGTGATCTTTATATTTTTTGTAAATTCTGAGGAGAAAGGGTTAAATAAAAATGAAGGAATGTATAAAATAAAGTTTCACTGTATTTAATGAGAGTTATTCCTGGGTTTTAAATTAATTTTCTTTGATCTTGTTGAAGAAATCTGATTCAGTGTTTGTTACTTTGTATTACAGGCTTTTTTTATTTTTCTTTTAAGACATGTCACTGACTTATTTATGCATGTTTCATATCACAGTATTTTTTTTGTGCTACATTTTCACATCATTCCATACTTTGTGTAGTGTCTTGAAACAACAGAGGAGCCTGCGATGCGGAGTGAAGGTGGTGACAATGACAGGAAGATGCAGAACAGTCGGTTTTCTGAGAGGGTCAGCCAGGTAGGACTCCGTTCTGGCTCCATTATGTTACAGTACTCCTTTCTGCACATGCCTTTAAAAATTCGTACTTTCTTAGAACACAAAGTCTTTTGCAAGCAAAGCATACTTTTCTTGGTATCTGATTTTGCTTTCAGCTGATTGTTATCCTAAAGAGTTTCTGAAAGCTTTTTCTTATATTTTTCTGCTGCAAAGGTTTTGCAGGCAAGATAGCTTTCATTCTGGGTCTTGTTTTCTCTTGTTCAAATACTCATAATTTTCCTTAATGGGAACGAGAAGTCGTCCCTTTAAATTGTGTTCCTTTACCTACACACACGCTGATCTTTAGTTTCCATTGCAGTCAGGCCTATAGTGCAAATTCTATAAGATTGACTTGCTGCTATGCCTGAGAAAAAAATACTGTGGATCCTTCTTCAGGGTTGAGATACTTGATGAGTTGGTAACTTGTTGACTGCATTTTCAAAACATGCACGAATCTGCCATACTCCTATCCTGTCATTCAAAAGTGATATAATGCATCATGGAATCATAAAACAATTCATGTTGTAAGGGACCTTAGAGGATCATAGAGTGCAATGAAAGTTGAACCTTTCTGGTTTAAAAATTATAACATGCTAAAATATGACATGAAAGGGCATTGTGGTTAGTAAAGTTGAATAACAGTGATGTTCTGTGCTTTGAAATTAGGGAGATGAAACGATCTTTGGGTTTTTCCTGCAGTAGGTGAATAAACAGGTAAGTGATGTATTGTAGGTTCTCTTGGCTCTTAAACATCTGAATGTCTGACTGCTGATGTCTGCTGATGCAAGTTGTATCCAAATGGGCCCAGTCTAAATTCTCACATAGTTGATACAGAAGACTTTCATTGATTTAACTAGGGGTTGAATTACTGGAGTGAATCCATGTAGAAATTTCCTAGTACACGTCTGTGGTGTTTCATACAAAAAGTTGGCGGTTGCATCCTCTCCTGGCCATCAGGGCTTGCATCTGGCGATCCCAGGGCAGAATTTGATACCGTAAAGACAGACGATTGAAAGGTGAACTAATAAAAAGTTAACTGCAATCTGCAGGCAACTTTCTGGAAGTTTCATACGTCTTCACAGATAAAGACCTTCAGGGAAATCTACTTACTACTGACTAAACAACTGATCCCTATGAATTAATCATATGAAATAGATGTTAATTAGTTTTTCTATTAATAAGTAGTAAGTGAAATGTCTGTGGATGCTTCTTAATGTAGATAAAGAGCATCAGGAATTACAAAATCTGATTACAAAAAGATTACAGCCCTGAATTTAATAGAACATTACATACCTGTGTAATAACAAAATGTTTGCAATTTTTCAACAGATGACTCCATCAGACTATTCAGAGAGTTTCTGCAAAGACAGACATTACAGGAATCCAAATAAGCCTCAGATTGAACACGATACAACTGGCAAACACTTTGGCACAATAGGAATGAGTGAACATGAAACAGAAGAGAACTTGCTCACATCTCTTTTAAGAGAAAATAAAACATCTGTACTGGAATCTACGTAAGTATGAGGGATATGCACTGCTTTTGACAGTATTTCTATTTGAGAAGAGAATAAAGTAATTTTGCTAAAGTGAATTTAGATAATGGCACTGTCTAATTTACCTGAGAGATTGGCAAGGCGCCTTCAGAGCCATTTTAGTCTATCAGGCAATTAAGTAATTAGGAAACATACTATCAGTAGAAATCCTTATGAAAAACCCATTACAAGAAAAAAAAACTCTCCAAAGTTACTGATATATGGAGCTTTGCTTTAGGGATGGGGTTTAGCAGTGTTTAAGGCTCAGATTATAATAGGTAGTACTCTTTTTTTTTTTCTAAAAAATATAAAATATCTGAGGGCACAGGCCAGTGAAGGGTGGTGTGGTGGAGGAGACGACAGTGTACTGCTGTGAAAATTATACATGTAGGGAACTGAGGATGGAGGAATTGAAGTTACGACGACTGTTTTACAGGGTTATTTTTGAGTGAATATCACTGTACGCTTTGTGGCCTTTGCCATTTGACCTGAACTGCTTGGACGGAGGTTTCCTCTTGGTCAGCAGTGTGGGGAGTCTGGGCCCATGCACTGCAGTTGCCCAGTTGGTTATTCCAGTGTAACCACAAGTAGGACTCTGCTGAGTGGAGCCATGTTGTAAGTTCTTAGGGCACTTTTCATGCAGGAGAAAATACTAGTGTAACTAAATCTGTATAAGCTCTAGTGTAAGAAATGTTTTTCAAGTGTGTGTGTGCTACACTGTGGTTTGATCAATTCCCAGCTGAAATGTTCATTTCCATAGGCACTGGACAACACCAAGCAAGAAAAGGGTGTATAGCATAACCACACCCTGACTAGTTTTGTTTGTCCCAATTTCATGCTTATGACACTTAATCTCCTGGATGAAAACTGAATTAGAGACCTGCTGGAGGTCATTCTCATTTTCCTTTCCCAGTTCTCTCCACGCTGTAATGGCTGTGTACAGTATTACGGGGGTTTTTTCAGTGTCCATCAGTGTTGTCCCATCAGCTAGCTGTAGTGGTTGCTGGAGAGTGTTGGGAATGACCTCCTGTATATGTTGTGCTCAGCAATGCTGGTAGCAGAATATCCTGTGGAATTACACAAGTCAAATCCCATTTTCTGTGTTCAGCATCCACTGCATTGACTTTACTCAAGCAATTCTATGTTTTTACATTACTATTTAAAACTCCAACAGGCATAAATGATCCTAGTTGTCAAAGCACTAGTTAGTGGTAAATGAGGAGATCCTACTCTCTTAGAAGATGAATAGATAACATTGTTTTATTTGTTAACTTTACTTAAAAGTCTGCTAATGAGTGATTCCAGTACCATCATCTCTACCACTCTAGTGTGTAATCTTTTCTATATTTAAGTATAAATGACCAGATTGACTGGTGATGAGCCTGTACTTTGCATAACTTAATTCTCACTAATGACTTTAGATACCAGGGAAAGACATAAAAAGCCTAGTTAGCTTCTACCATTTCAAATCTAGCTATACAACTGCAGTTGTTTTAAATGCTGGTTTATATGTTTAGTGGCACAAGCAGCTCTCTATTGGACGCATGAAATAATTTGTAGAATTTGAGAGCTTGCTTATGCTTTAAATGTCTTTTATTTGGCTTCAGTTTTACTTGAAACATTGCTTTCCAGACTGTTGTCCACGGACAGCTAGTTATCTGTGGGGTAGTTTGGTGATCTGTAGTGAGCTGGTTTTGCAGGCTTTTGGCTGCTCTCTCAGCCTGTATCTTCCCAGTCACATTGGAAATACATGAAGGGATAGATTTTCAGAAAAACTCAACATCTAGAGTCCTCTGTGGTTTTGGTAGAAATTGATTTTTAAGGTAGTTAAATCAGAAAGTAAACTCTCTTGAAAATCCATTCCTATTTCTGATATTGCTATGTGATATAAGCAGTTGATTTAGTTACTGAAGGCTTAGTATCTGTTCATGAATGGGGAAAGGGGCGGTAGGGCATATATGGTCATAAACAGGAGAAAAGCATTGATGAAATAATTCACAACTCATGTTGTGAAAAGGTTTCAAAAAGTCTGTTTCTTAGCGAGTAATTCATTAGTGAGTAAAACGGAATCTCCTGGGAATTTCAAATATGTCAGGACATTACAAAAGTTTTGCTTAGAAGGTATTCTTTTTTGCTTAAATAAAAATCAAAATTCATGCCTTTTCTTTCCTTCTTACTACGTATAGCAGACAAGAACAAACGAGAATTGTAAATGAACTGTTAGATCATCTGAACACAACTGAGCAAGAATGTTCAAGTGAAGATATAGAGAAAAAGGATGAAAAAGATCTTAGGCAAATGATTATTCAACTAAGAGCTGAACTCAAACATTTCAAGCAGGTCAATAAATTCTTAAAACAGCAAGTAGAATTGAAATCAACTTTTGATGGGAAAGAGAAGCTTTATCCAGATGCAATGCCACAGATTAATAAGGATATTGAGTTGTTGAAAGTGGAATTGAAAGATGCAGCTACACAAACAATGACTTTAGAGAGTAATGTCATGAGATTCGAACATGAAGGCGAAAAAGGAGCCTCAGAAGAAAAGCCAAAATATTCAAGATTAAATGCAGAAAGAGAACATCAGCAAGAAAATGTGTACAAGAAGGGTGAACATCATGAAAGGCATTTTTTTAAAAGGAGAGCAAATGAAGTAAGTTTATTTAAGATTCTCTTTTTGGTACTTAGGGAATAGATGTATAAAAGAGAAAAATATGTCTCATTTCTAATACTAAATCTTACTTTTGTGTAATTTTTAAAATTAGAAAAAGAGATGTAAGCCAAATATATTTTAGATAATTGTTCTTAATGTTCAGGGCTTTTCATCGCATACTTCAGTGTGCTTTAGAACACTAATTAATTGAATTTCAATCCTCCCCAGGACCAGATACTAGTAAATATTACAGCTTTTGGAAAAAGCGATAGTTTGTAGCATAATGGCCTGATTCTGTACTACCTTGTATCTCTGCGTAGATGTTCATAATGTGCAGAACCAGAGCATTTTGAACTGACAGCTTATTAAGTCTAAATGGCAAATGTGTTCTAGAAAATGGAAGACTTGCATAATGTCTGAGAGCGTACTGATGAAGGGTTAATGGTAGATTTCAAGAAACTCGAACCTTAATTTTAGGCTTTTATTAACATCTTATCATTGTGTCTTGCTTTTAGAGAAGGGTGACCAGTGGTACTCTATAAAACTGTGGGGGCAGCTCTTCATGCCTGTTTGGAACCTAAGTGCACAGAATCTGTTTTGCAAGTACAGATGTAATTTGCTTGGGCCAGATAAGTTTTCAAGCCTTTTGTATGCAGCCAGTCTGTGATCCCAAACAAAGAGGTGGGAAAACAGTGTCTACTGAAGTGTTCGTGTGTATTGTTTCAGTAGCAGTTACAGAAGCGGAGCTGAAAACTCTTTGAAGATCTTAGCTCTTGCAGAGCAGACAAAGGAGAGTGTTGCTTTTGATTTTGTGAGCTGCTAATAGAGAACGTTGTAGCACCTTCTGCAAAGAATGGTTTCCATGACTTTAGTGATCCAGAGATTTCTGTGAGCTAGCAATTGGGAAGAACTCATTTTTATTCTGGCTTGTTCTTGTTGGATTCCTTTTTTTGAAGGAAGGGGCTTGTAAGCCGAGAGATGTTGAGAAGACTTTGTTCTGTATAGGCATAAATGTTTCAGTATGGTTTGGGATTTTAAGGAAAAGATTTTGGCATGCATGTCTGGTCCCTGGCAAACACTCCAGCAAACTCATGCCAGTCTTGGCAGTAGGTTATGATACCCCTGAAAAATCAAACCCTAAGTGACTCACAAAAGCTATGTCTTGTTTCACCAAACAATGTACGTGTAATCAAAATCTATCAGAGTGTCTTCAGGTACATTCTTCGTCTTTCTTTATTGGCAGTAAATTTTCTACCTTTAAAAAGAATTATGTTTGGAAAGAGCGTAATGATGGAAATGTTCTTGGGCTGTTGTTAATGTTCTTTAGTCTGTCAGGCCTTTGGTCAGTGGTGTGTGGCAGGTTGGCTGCTGTGGCAGCTGTTCCTGCATCTTTGGGATGCCTTGGCTAGCCGGAGACAGAGAGGGGTGGATGTGCTCTCAGCGGTTTGTGTTGGAGCTCTTTAGGGCAGTGGGCTCCAGGAACACGTGAAGAGATGAGGGAGGTTGAAGTCAGGAAGAGTAAAGCCGGGTGGTAGAGGGGGGAGGGGTCTGAGGACCTAGCTGGGCTATTAATGAAGATCTGCTTGCGATGGCTCGCTGAAGAGCACTGACGATGTCTTTGAGTTGCTGGTCTTGCTTCTCAGGAATGAAGGGCAATCTCTCTGAAGGCGAGTAAAGGCCTGTCTGCCCTCCGCAGAGACGAACTAGAGTTCTTTCTGCAGCTCTCTTTGTTCAAGTTCCTGTTCTCATTGAGTTTCAGTATACTGTTTTGATTCATCATTTTCCAGATTCCTCTCTTGTTTAATCAGTTGCAACCTCAATGCAATCCCCAAGTCAATTGCTTTAAAAGCTTTCTTGTTTGGACTAAGGCAATGTATCTTTTGCTTCCGAATGGCTTTTATAAATAATTTCATGTAGCCAGCTGAACTGGACTTTGGGTAATCTGGGTGACGTATATGTCTGTACAACAGCCTGGAGACAGCTGGAAATTGTTCGGCATTATTAGCGCAGTTTGGTGAAACTAGCAGGAAGTTCATCCTGCCTGGATTTATTTTTCAGCCTCCAAATGATATTGTATTCATGTATGTACAAAAGGAATTGAGTGTGTCATTAGGAAAATGGAACTTGCTTTTTAGTATTTTAAATTGTGTAAGGACTATAATTGCTAAGAAATGAATGTGGAAAGGTATTTCAGAATACATTGGGTGGTAAAAGAAATTACGGAACTTATGACACTGGTACAGCAAATGAACAGCAAAAAAATAAACTAAATCTATCTGAACATGCCATTATTGATTTTTATTATTATTGCATACAATTCCATAACTCTCATCAACATATAGGATGTTCTTCTCTTTTTAGCACTATTTTATGCTCTGTGGGTTAAACAAAGACACGTTTATTTTATTCAGTCTTCACAAGGTGAGAGGCTAAAATATAGTGATTGAAGAAATTTAACTTCTCCCTCCAACTCCAGTGATGGAATATCTGTTACAGTAGGAAACGGGAATCCTGCGGAAGCAATTTATAGCATGTGCGGGTGAAGAAGCTTGTCTTGTTCATAAAGAATTTCTCTATGGCAGAATAAATTTCTTCTGTGGCTGATGCAAAGCTATTTTGATTTGCTCAAAGGTATGAAAGAAGGCTGGTACAAAGTAGGGCCTCTTGGATGGAGGCAAAAGGAAGAAAGGAAAATACGTTCAGGAATATATGAAAAATTAGGAGGCTCCTCAATTTATAAAAACAAAAAAGGATTCAAGGGAAACAGTTACTGGGTTGTCAGACATTTAGGATAAAAATCAGGAGACTGGGAAGAAGCAGTTAGAGAGGTCAGTTTGGGTGAGAAACTATTTTCCTAGGGCATACACAAATTCAGGGTTAACTAATAAGCCTACTGATGAAAAACCTTTGCTAGTCAGTGGTGAATTTGCTGTCTTGCTTCATGAACTGGAAGCCATTCACTGTGTGGCTGTGGATGCAGCAGCAGCACTTACAGAAAATTGAACCAGCTGGATTGTTTTTTTCTCTGTGAATGTTTGTTTTCCAAGTTGCAAGGGTAGTGCAATCTTATTTTCAAAGCTATTTAATATGACAGCTTACTGATCTTACTAGAAAATTTTTATTTTTCATGGAATATTTGTTTATATTTCCTGTATTAGACTGTTACATGTGAGCTACCAACTCCCCATTTTGTCCCCTGCCTTTTCCAGACTGATTCTGCTTACCTGCCCAAGAAGTCTCGTCTGCCTGTTCTCTTAAAATCATCCAGACCATTAAGAAATGTGCCATTGAACTCCTGTGTGCAGAAGTCAGATTCAAAACTACAGTGGCATAGCAGGGCACCTTACGAAGGTCTGAAAGCATGGGAAGTACCGAACAAACAATTTCAGCCACAAACAAATGGAGAGTTATTATTGAATGAGTCTGTCACTGAAAACCTTCAAGAAGAGCCTGCACAGGAAAGCACAGCAATGAGAGGTAAAGAAAGAGCAGACATAATGACTTGTAATGCTGCTTTAAAAAGTGGCTTCTTTTCTTGTTGTAGAAAGTAACAACAGATCATTTTTACATGTGTACAATGCTGCTTAATCTTATGATTTTCTTGGGTAGGCAAATACAGATCTTGAAACGCACCTATTTTTTTTCTTTCATCTTTGGTGCTAGAATGTAAAACAGCTTTGTATGGAATGGAAAGTGCTTTGTGTACGTGGCATAAGCTATATAATAAATGACAGCTTCACAGGGTGTCCACACATGCACAGGTACATATCGATGTTTAGGTAAATGAAAAATTTCCGTTGTAGGATGCCAAGTCTAATGAAAACTGTCTGTAATGGAGACAGGAGAGTATAAAAATACTGTATTTGTTTATGCTGCATAAACAGGTTTTTCCAGTATTCCACTGATCAGTCAAGTCATCCGTGTCTGTTTCCAGTGTGACTGGGTTAATTTAAACTCAGTTGTTGACAAAGTATCTAGATCAGCAAAGTATGAGAAACTGTAAGGCAGAGAACAAACAATGGGCATTATATAAAGATTTGGAGTGGTAAAAAAAAATTGCTTAGCAGTTAGACTAAAAACTGAGTAGAGAGTTAATGGTTAGGTGGGGCAGAGAGGAGGTATAAATGTAAGAAAGAAGATTCAATCAAGTGGCAAGTGAGCCACTGTCAAACGCAGAGGTTGCAGAGGCTTTGTTGTTAATGTTATTGTGGTAAGGGACAGATAGGGCACAATATTTATTGTAAATACTCCAGCTGATAGGGCTACGGCAATTAGTTTTGGTAGGTGCAAAATCCATGGAGAATTCTGAGAAGGGAAGTGTTTTTGAGTTGGATCCTGAAATGAATCAGAACCCCTTAGGACAGCAGTCCTGGGATTCCCTTTCTGCACTGATTTCTTTACCCTGGATAACAGTTGTACTGCGCACTTCATAATTCTGAGACTTGATGCAGTGGGAGATTGCAGATTATGTTATGGTCAGTGGTCAGATTGGAGAAACTTTTGAGCCTTTTGTCTAAGCTTAACATAAATCATTTAAAAATGCACTAGAAATTGATTAACTGTTACATTACAAATAGGACTTGCCTTCTGTTTTACCTTCCCCTGCTGTTCTCCAGTTGACTCATTGCTCAAACTGGGTAATAGTGAGGTCCAGGTCAAGCTGCAAGATGTTGATCCAGATGAGGGGGACAAGAATGAATATGCGATGGACAAAAATCAACAAAACTATCAAGGTAGAGCATTTATATGGTATAGTATATAAAAAAAGAAATTTTAAAACTCTGTTTTCTTCTGAATTGTGCAAAATTGTAAATTACTGCAGGTAATTGTCTCCCTTGCCATTATTCGTGGGTTTTAAATCTCAGTTTCTTAGCTAGTATATATTAATTGCTCTAAGATTCCAAGTTCATCTTTTAAGGGTTATGCTTTCAGGAGGGCCACAGGGATTTATGAGTCTGGTTTCCAGTAAAAATAATGAGTTGTATGCCTAACTCTGATCTCTGTTGCTAATGTCCTCCCTTCTGAACTCTTCTCTGAATTAAATGTTTGTTACTTAATGCTTCTGCATCTGGTTATGAACTATTGGAACGAAGCAATTGAATGTTAGAATTTTGCTTATCTGAATTATTTGAAGGCATTCAACTAGGTTGAAACCTAATGGAATCATTTAATGAAAATGTAAATAGGCTTAATACTGTATTACCTGTTTCTGCATCATCCATCGATCTTTTGGGGAGGGTTTGAATAATCTGGGTAACATGTTGTGTACAGAGTACAGAGGATGTGGCCAGTTTTGTGCTTCTTGGTCACATCATTAATTTTATTTGTCTGAGTAGTTTCGTTGAAGCCACTCGGTTTGCAGGATAATGCTCTGTGTGTGCCGTTTGTATGTGTCGACACATATATGCAGAGAGAGCTTATTAACTCTCCTTTGATTTAAGGCAGTGTTTCATGAAATATTTTAACCAGTATTCTAATCAGAAACATTTCTTTCCTAATATCTGGTTCTATTTCCTCTTTTTGTTGTCTGGAACATTTGCATGAAATCAGGATCGCAGAGTTTAAGAGCTCCTCTGGGATCTGGGTTTTTGTCCATCTCAGTCCACAACCTTCTTTGACATCTGCGTTACTGCAGCGACCGACTGGTAGAGAAGGAGGAGAAGCTAATGAGCTGCAGTGTTACAGAATCCCAGCATGGTGGGGGTTGGAAGGGACCTCTGTGGGTCACCCAGTCCAACCCTCCTGCCAAAGCAGGGTCACCCAGAGCAGGCTGCACAGGACCTTGTCCAGGCAGGTCTTGAATATCTCCAGGGAAGGAGACTCCACAGCCCCTCTGGGCAGCCTGGGCCAGGGCTCCGTCACCCTCAGAATGAAGAAGTTCTTCCTCATGTTCAGACAGAACATTCAGTGTTGCATTCCCGTATTCAGTAGCTCTTCCTGAATTCATACACAGCCATCTTCTTGGAGGCATTTCTGTCCTGTGATTCTGTCACTTTTAGAATGACATCATGACATCCATAATGGTGTGCAGCAATATGTGTACTGCAGAGAACATCATCTAGCTGTAATTTCAAATATGTTGATATCCCAGTATTGCAGCTTCATTTTTTTTCTAGCTTTTAGGTCATAACTTGTTTTTATTCTCTTGTGCCTGGGCTTGACTTGGTCCTTTATATATAGCTGTCCGTGTCCGTCCGTCCATCCATCTGTTCCCACCCCCCGAGATTTTGCACTGATTTAGAACTTGAACCTGGCCATTCAAATTCTCCATGGAAACCAAATTGAAAGTAGTAAGACCTCTGCAAGATCAATGAATGACTCCCAAAAGGGAGGTTCTAATTTGTAGTGATCTTTTGCAGAACTAATAGAAAGGGAAAATTTAATTTACTGGTAACCAGAAAATAACCATTTTCGTAGATACTTACATATACATATACAGCCCTAAGCATACACAGAACTATAAACATAGAATATATGTAGGAATATATAGCTTTTATTGGTCTGAATCTGGGGTGATTGCGTTACTTCTGAATGGCAAAGTCAACTAAGGGATGTGCAGTGCATGCCAAATGAGTGCCAGTAAAACCTTTAACACCGAACATTTTAATGGATTTTGTTTAGAACACATTTGAAAAAGAAGTTATTAAAGCCTCATTTTAAAATGTTACTATTTTGTTGATAATCTTTTTAAAATTCCACTGATGTTATGCTCTGATTGGTTTTGTACAGATTTTTGAAGTGAGGAGAAAAAGAATATTTAATTAGAAGTTTTAGGAACAACCGTTTAAAGTTGTAGAGTCTACTTTTAAATCTCAGTGCCTTATGTTTGAGGTTATCTTTGTGGCTGGAAAGGTCTCGGCTTCACTGATGTCTGATTCAGGACTGCATATAGCAAAAGTAGTTTTCAGTTATTTGGGAAAAGAAAGTGGGTATATTTTGAATATTGTTTATTTGAAAGGTGATTTAAATATTTAAAATATTTTAAAATATTTAATGTGCAAGTTCAATTAATGGGCAAATCATAGAAAGAGGTCAAAACTCCAAAACTGATATTGTATTGTTTGTAATTATTCTGCATTTTTATTTTGTTATAGAAGTAAATGAATTCATCCTAGTGCTGTTAAGAACAGAATGTCAGATAAAGAAATATTAATATTCACATGCAAGCCTTCTGTTTTTCAGAAATGCAAAATCATCATAATGTTAGCAACGTGAATATCCAGCATTCATTAGAAGAGATAAATGAAGAGTTTTATTCCATGGAACATGAGGGCATTGGCTCAGCCACTGCATATTCAGGTTCCAAGTGCCCGTGTTCTCACAAATTGAGTGTAACAAGCACAGATGCACTAGATGACTGTGAAGTCATAGACGATATAGAAGAATTGAAACAAAGAATTAAGAATATGAAGTCTGAGCTTGAAAAGTACAGAATGTTCGTGTTTCGTTTACAGACCTCTGACCAGCTTTTATTGAGTGGTGTTTCCAATGTAGTTTTGAGTGACACAGCCTTGCCTGTGGAAGCACATGTTACACAAGTGCGAGATACAGCTATGCAAGAAATCAAAACATTTTCTAGTGTCCATCAGCTGATGAATTATGAGATCCACACTGAAAATAGGAATTCAGAGTCTTCAAGAGCACCTGATGCATGGACAACACAAAACCTTAAGGAACTACTATCAACAGATGAGGCAGAACTTGAAAAAAAGCAAATTGCAAATATGCATCTTGATGAAGGGTATCATCTTCAGAACAAACTAAGAGAAACATCACCATCCAAGTGAGTAAAGCTATTACTGTTTCAGGTTCCTTTTTGTAAACAGCAATACTAAGTAATGTAGGAAAGTAATACGAAGATAATTTTATTCACATACGAGTGTGTTGTAGTGGAGAGTAAATTTCACTAACATTAACAGAAAACAACTGAAATGCTTATTTAAAAGATGCCTTGAAGTACCAAACAGTATTTCTCTTAGAACAGAGCTGCTTTTGAGAAGCTCAGATTGTCCTCAGTAACGGTTGTGTGCCAGCCATCTGTGTCTCTCCCCACACCTCTGGTCCACAACTCTCTTTGCTGCAAGACATCCTCTTGAGCAAAGTCAGACCTCCTCAAGTTACTCTGTGGGACAGGCTGACCCCTGTAATCAAAGGATTGCAGTTTTGCGTCAGTCGGGGTTTTTTCAGGTGACAACTGTAAGAAAATGGAACATCCCGTTTAAGATAGGAGTGTTTCTGTGGGCAACTGGCTGGCAGATTTCTGCTAGCCCGTCTGTTTGTGTGACTGCACTTGATGTATAAAGTAAGAAGGTTATGCTCTAGTTGTAATTTATTTATTAGTTGAGTGCTGTAATGCCTTCCTTTGAAGGATGTGAAAGTAGCTATATATAGAAATTAATGAATGAAATTTTATAGCATAATCTCAGAAGGTGGAAAATCATTTATGGGAGGCTGGAAAGTTTCAGTCTTATTTTTTGTGTGATGAGACTGGGGGCAGCATTATGACTAGCGTATATACAAATCACAGACATAAAATGGGGTCCCATAAGATGAAACCTTTTTTAACTTCTAGGCCTGCCCCCCGCCCCCGTTGTTATTGTCCTGAAGGCCTAAGGAATGGCAGGAGGTGTAACAAAGAAAGGTGTCCAGCCTGTTGGCTTTCTTTGGAATGCTGGAGTAGAAATATTTGGAGACATGAGCAAGGGCCAGCATGGACTATTATATATCTCTTAGTATTACTGTCATAAAATACAGTTCTGCTACATAGTACATGTAAATTTACATACCTTGAAAATATACCTCATCCATTTTACAAAGGAAGATCAAACTGTGTAAATTAAGGAATGAGGCAGTCTGGATCACTGTAAAGTTTTTATGGCCACTGTCTAGGACAAGTGCATGAGTCACAAGTGACAGATCCAAAAATGAGTTATACGTCTCTTCCTATACAAATGACAATAAAATACTATAACAACCCATACCATTGGAGATTTTGTTTATGCCCTGTATATTGTTTGATTCTCTGCATCTTTTCAGATCCCTCTCCCTTTTTCTCTCCCCTAATGTATGATTGTGTAGAAAGAAGCGTATCTGTGATATAGACAGTGGCAGCATAAAGGGGATGGCTGTATTTGCAAGTGCAGAATAAATTCAGTTGATCTGAGTTTAAATTTACACCCTGGGTTGTGAAGTGGAAGAGTTTGGACACTATAGTGGTTGTTATGGTCATGTCTCTGGTAATAAACGTACAGGGACATGTAGAATTTTCAGACTGTGTGAAACCATCAGCTCAGAGAGTCTGATACTGTGCTCCTGGCAGGAAATACATAAAGTTTCCGAAAAAGGGACAGCTCCATCTGCTCTTCCATACTGAATTAAAAAAAAAAAAACACAAAAAAACAAACAGGAAAAATATGTGCATTCTTAAAAATTCTTTTCATGTATTCACTCTTATTTACTTTAATTTGTCACATTTGCACCTTTGCACGCCATCCAGGCTATTTCCAAATAGACAAACAAGTTAATCACTTTAGTTTCTGTCCGTCTTATAAATCAAACAGTTAAGTATAATAACCCAGAAGTTATGCCCATAAATACAAAACTCAACAGTTAGAGACAACACATTTCTCATTGTGGCTGTAAAAGCATTTTAAAAGAAAATTGAGTCACATAAAATTATAGCTTACGAATATAAGTTTAGTTCACTTTTTATTTATATTTAAATGTCATTTAAGGCCAGAAAATTACTTTAAAGATAATTTCATTTTCTCAGATATGATTCATTAGTTCATTCGCAAGCTCGAGAACTCTCCTTTCAACGCCAGCAAATTAAAGAGATCCGCGGTGGTTGTGTTGCTTACCATCAACATCTGACGAGCCTTATTAAAGCTTTTGAGGAACTGCTTCAAGCCAGTGATGTAGATTATTATGTTGCTGAAGGCTTCCGCGAACAACTGAATCAAAGTGGGTTATTGTTTGAGAAGCTAGAAAGGAAATTCCTGTATGGTAAGTAGCAGTGTTTAGTGATTATTGTCTGAGATATATTAATGTTCTCAAAATTTGCAAGGTTTTTTTCTTTTTTTTAGTGAAAAGGAAGCCTTACTTCCTCTTGGTTGTTGTTAAATGATTTATAGGGAGGACTGCCTTGGCAGATAAAATTTTAGTGCTCCAGCAAGACTGGATTTTACTTTTGTAGTTGTCCTAGGTATTGACACCTTCCATTTTGAGTTGTTCACCTTAGCACATGCATATTTTAACTGCTCAAAATATAGTGGTTATAGTTTAGTAGGCTTCAGGATTTTCTGTTTCAGGAAACACCAGGTGACTTTGTTGAGCCTAAGCATCGGATATCTTTATTGAAGGGTTCTCATGGGCATGGTTCACAGCTGGTTTTTAACACAATCTATGTTTAACAAAAAAGAAAAAATTACATGTTCCTGAAGTTTTTCCCCTAAAGTGCAGTCACTTGCAAGAAGGGTAAATGCAGTGCAGAGGTCTGGGCTGTACTTTGAGAGTGAAAGAAGAAATTATCATATAGTAGTCCATCTAGGCAATTTTCTATTGCCAATGCCTTTAAAGAAACTGTGAAGAATCTTGCATTGAACAGTTGGAAGGTAAAACAGTACCGTGCTGATTTGCACATTATTGATATTCCTGTAGAAATAACACAAGTTAAATTGTATGCAGGTGTAAAATCAGCTGTCCCTGGGTGCCCCAAGAAAAAGAGCCATAGACTTTATGGAGAAACCCACCCAAATGGTGCATATAGAAAATTAGAGTAAGGGGGCAGAAAGGGAAAAACGATTTGGTTAGAAGGCAGAGGAGAAGAATTCCTTTAAGAATTTTGAGTAGCTCATGAATTTGAGAGACTCTGGTATTGCAAACCAGTGTGTATTTGAGGGCTTCTGTAGGGCATAATAATCGAACAAGAGCCTCCTGAGCAGGGATGCTAGGGGAGGTCAGCCAGAGAAGTGTGGTCCTGGTGTTAGAGAAAGCCGAGTGCTGAATGGAGTATGTACCCAGGAAAGGACTTCGTAACATGTACCAGTAAGCAGTTACCAGTGAGAACTGGCATCTTGTCTGAAAAACGGGAGCTTACACATCTGAAAACGCTCTTGTCCTTTGGTTATCCCAGTTCCCCCACCTATTGTTTGGCAAAGCATTAAGTTGGAAAGTCAAAGCCTTAAACGTCAAAGAAGTGGGACCATATCAGGAAATGTATTATTCCTGACATTTCTAATTGTTTTCCTAAGAGACCTGCATCTTGCTGCGAAATAGTCTAGCTGGCTGAGAAAAGCATGCTATCTTTCATAATAGAGAGCTAAAATGCAACCATGTTTTGTAAAATGAGCTTCAAAATCTACATTTGTCACCTGAAGGAGGAGCGTATCATGTGTATTGCCTTCAGTCCTTAGTTTGAAGAAAGTTAGTGGTGAAGCAATGGGAAGGGGATGCTAACAGGAGTGAAATTCAGCAAGAAAGACCTTTTCCTGTCCGCGTCAGTGTTGCTCTTTCTGACCCAAACAACTAGCAATACTTCCACAGATGTCAGCTGCAAAACTGTCATTTTCAGTGAAACACTTGAGGTGGTTGGAAATAGAGACCTTGACCCCATGTCTTCCTGAAATGGGCTCTGGAAGATCACTTTGTTCAGAAACCTTCAGGGCCCAGCCATACAATGATCTGTTTTCTGCCTTTCGTTAAAGATAGTGACAGCATGTTGCAGTTTCAATTGCTCATATAAAGGAGTTGTGTATGAGGAAAAGGTATTACGGCTAGTGTGTCATAGCAGTGTAGTGAAAGATTGAGTGTATTCAGTGATTTCAGTGGCTACAGAGATTCCTTGCATTACAAATGAGAAGACTGTGTAGTGAATAAACATTAAATGCCTTTAGAAAATTCCCCAAACCAACAGATGGTATCCTATATACTATGAAAAGTCACTGACAACCGAGACAATTCAATATATCTAACACAATGGTGTTGCATTGAATCACACATTAAAATAAAATGATGTTTGTAGGGTTATAAAGAACATCCAGCGTACTAAGAATTGACTGTAAAGAAGCAGCATAAACAACCGTCTGTCTCTGCATTTCCATCCTGACCTTCAGTTCATTCCCCTGAAATTTCAGCTGTGCAACTCTTGCCTGCCACTTTTGCTTAATCGCACAAAAATTTTAAAATATGAGGAGCCAAGGTGACACCACAAAACTCTTCTTTCCATATTCAGATTAGTGTCTGAGTCCAGATCTTTTGCACTGAATTGTGCTTGTGCTTACCCACTATACCGTTGAAAATATTGTAGGCAAAATCCTGTGTATGCCCCTTGGTTAAGGATAACTGGTTAGCCTGACTCTGGGTGGACAAAATCCAAGTGAGATGGAATTGTTTTTATGTAATTTTTATCGAAGAAGTAGTGACATGTACCTCTAAACCTTTTGCCATATAGCATAATATTTTACTTCTGTATGCTCACTAAAACACCAAGGCTGTAAAATCTGGGATGTGTGGTACCTAGTTATTTTTCTTGAACTCTAGAGAAAGCTGTTGCTTTGTTGCTGGGCTATAAATGGTTTTGCTTATGTGCAGCATTTGACACTAATGCACAGTGCATTGACTTCTCTAAATTCTCATTTACCGTTCTGTATCTAAATAGTTTAAGATGGAGGAGGGGAAATGTATAATTCTTAATATCTGTTTTTAACTGGAAATTTCTGCTTTGCAGGAGAAGCAATAGGTACAGAAGTGACTATACTTTATGAATTAGCTCAAAGGTAAGAGTGCAACTCAATATTTCTCAACCATGTGGTTGTTTGATAAGGGTGTTTCATGTTTTGTAGCACAGCTTCCACCATTTTGCTTTTCTGGAGGGCTTTGCGTATGCTGCCTGTTTCATTAGTTAATAAAATATCCACAGAAAACAAACTAAGGCTTTTTTCCCCCACTTCTCAGCAAACAGCTGAAATAGTGAGGTGAGGCACCGTGTTACCGAGATTGTTCCTTTCATGAACAAACAAAATGTGCCGTAATACACTGCTGTGTATGTTCAGATATTATCCTAATTGCAGCTGCTAGGAGGGACAGTCAGCTACCTCTCTGTTTCCGTGACCTTGGGGCTTGGCTCAGGGTCGCTGAAGTGCAGTGCTGTTGAACTCCCTTCTCAAAACACCCTTATGCGGAAGGTGAAGAGAGCAGGTGGTGTTATGCTGCACAGGTTGGTTTTATGCCAGCCGGGGATTCTTCTGTGCTACAGAAATCCTCAGCTGCCTGTTGAAGGCAGCTTGAGGTTGGTCCCCTTAGTGCGAAGGTGACTACGTATATATATCTCTGATGTGTGGTGCTTTGTCATGTTCTGTCACATAAATTCACTTGCTTTACCTGTGTCCTGTAAATTTGACACCGTGCTCTCTATTCATGCTTCCAAAGTAATAAAACATTTTTTGTGTTTTAAAACGTTCTATTTGGCACAAAAGGGATAATGAGAAGAACACCACAATGTACCAGCAACTGAAGGATGAATCACCTATACCATCTGCTCTTCATAGCTTGTCTGACTTTGACTTGTCGGAGAAGTCGTCTCTTGGATCACCAGAGCACAGGCGTGACCTCGAAGGACAACATGGCACACTGGCGCTTCTGCCAAACGAGTTTCCCCCGGGTAATTTTTTTCCCACTGAAGATTTGCTACATATTGGGAAAATGTGATAAATAAGACACAAGGGAACTAATTAAGAAATAATGAAGAATGTTTGTCTGCTTCAGCTTTCCAGTATCTTGCATAATCATTGCAGTTTCGGTAACAAGGCACACAGAGATGACAGCGATTTGAGCCACCTCCTGTTTGAAACAAAATTAACTATGATATTTTGTGTCTTTGTTGTTTTAGACTATCATCTTTTACAGTACTCCAGACAGTCTTTAAATAGACAAATTATAAGGGGAAAATAGACAATTGTCAAGAGATTATTACATTGAAAAAGAGAGATTTTCTAATTTTATAAAAGCTAGTGTTGTGTTTCCTTGCCAATTGTAAGTGCTGCATAATTAATAAGTGGTGTCATGTTTGACCTGGATAGTTTCACTAAGCACAAGTGATGCTTGCAGTAGTTTGTTATAGGCAGCGATGAAAATTTAATAGCTGAGATAGCACATACTGTTCCAGAGAAAAATATTGCAGAGTAAACCAGGAGTGTATGACATGGATAAACTGACAAATAAGATAGTGACGGTTAGAACAGATAAGTTCCTGAGCAGAGCTGAAACTTACAGCCAATGGAAGAAAAATTGTAGAATGGCAAAGCAAGAAGGAAAAGGTACGGTAATGAAACTTGATAGAACAAATTTATTTATTATGGTATGCATTGTGTAAGTCAAAGTCAAATTTATATCTGAGTTACTCTGGCAAGCTTCCTGTTGTTATAAGGAAAAATGTATACTGTTGATGTGTCGAGCCTGAACATGAAGCTGCATCGCAGACCTTTGGATTCATTTCCCAGATGGGGGAGTGTTTTAACTGGACAAAATTGTTATCTACTACAGTTTTGTAAGAAGAAGAAATTAAAAAAGTCTTGAAACTGGACCATTGTTGAAGTTAAAATGCATAGTAGGAGTTTTCACTGAATGCAGGGTTTGGGCACTGTATGGAAAAAGACTGTTGTGGGGTCGGATATTTAATGTCTGCCATTTTGAACAGCTCTGCATCATTTTTTAGTATTAACAATGATTAGATTTGACAGGGGTACACAGTGTAAAGGAATACAATCATTGACTCTTAAGAAATGGTCTCTTGGTTTATTTAGAGTTATTGATGGAGCATCTGCAAGAAATTAGAATCCTGAGACAGCGTTTAGAATACTCCATAAAAACTAATGAGAGACTGAGGAAGCAGCTTGAGAGACAAGTAACATACAAGGAACTAGATCAAGGTAAGAATTTATTTCATGACAAATTAAATCCACATTTGCTGCTTAAAGCCTGAGGGATCAAATTGCTGCTGGAAATATTTTTTGTGCTTTTTTGAATAAACCACACCCCTTAACAGCTGGAAAATGTTGCGCCTTTCTCTGAATACTGCTGCCTCTTGAACACATCAGCAGACACAGCTTTTCCATGCTTGCAGAGTGGCATAAATACAGATCTAATGTGCCTCTTCCTGGAGTCCATTGCTTGAAGTGTATCCAGTACGGCTGCACAAAGCTTTGACGGGACACAGGTACACCACACAGCCCAAACCTACAATTGCACATATTGCTAAGCAAACAGGACTACCAGGTAGTTTTATGACATTGGATGACACCGTGATTGAATTTCATCCAGAGAATTGAAAGACCATTCTAGGTCCGTTATCAGCAAACAGACTGGGTTTGGTTTTTCTTTTGCCTTTGGGATGTAATTGTTGTTATCACAGTCTTGGATTTTAGGATGTCATCCTCTTTTAATTCTCTGGCATGTCCAGCCAGGGGCAGTTGTCAGAGAGGAAGCCCATTTTATCCACATAATTTCAGTGGAGCCTGGGACCAGTATGAATAGAGGAGAAGGTGCTTTGCTCTAAATTACCTTTCTGCTATTGATTTAAATTAGGAATGTTGTGGAATTAGCTTTCCTGTCCCCACTCTGTGTGTACCCACGGTGGTCAGTACAGCATCACTGCTAACAGGACTCTTGAAGATGCCTTCTCTGGAATTTTATGACTGCTTTAAAGCCAGCTTGTGTTTACGTACACAGAGAAAATATCTGTAAGACAGGGCCTAAGCCATGGTGTTCAGCTTGTCATTTGAATTGATTGGTGTGATAAATGTGTTCACAAAATGACATTGTGAGTTTTTAATGAGAAATACTTGACAGAAACTGATGGAAATTTTAACATGGAGTTGGTTTTCATTCCAAACTCTAATATAAAGCAGTGGATGAGAAATACTAAAAATAGGTATGCAAATTCAGAGTCACTGCTCTCTGTTGCTAGTGTTCAGCATCTTTGAAAGCCAAGCTGTACGCTGCGTTTAAAACTTCTCACAAGAAAGCAGCCAGGCTTTCATGAAGGATGCTTTTGTAGCACCTTTTCAAGCACACCGTACCAGGCATGCTTTCCCACACTTTGCTCTGTTCTTGCTCTTTTTCCCATGTTTTCCCCCACAGGACAGTTGATTAATATGCAATATTACTCAGAGTGGAAGCAGGCAATAAATACATACATGCTTCCCTTTTACTCCGTTTCGCTAATATTGACATTAGATTCATCATGTTTTACATCATCCCCATGATCCATTTCTGTTGTTGTATAAATGGAGACTACCTGCAAATGGCAGTTTGCTTTCAGGAATAATTTACAGTGATGGAAAGGTGTATAAAAAGCATCCATTTCATTCATGAAGTATTTACGCTGCTGGAAAGGCATACTGTTCTCGTGAAATAACCACACTGGAAACACTTCCAACTCTTTTACAGCTTCATAAAGATTCTGGCAAGGGCATCCGTTAATGCAGTGAAAGTATATTTTCTTTATGAACTGTTGTATGCCTTCCATCTGTCTTCGTCTTGCCTTAGTGTATCTACCAATGCATGGAGGAGAAATTTGGAAAAGAAAGGAAAAAAGCAACTACCTGTTAGAACAGGTCCTTTTGGTTACTGTGTTCTTTCAGTGCTTCCCGTTAATCTCCGTTTTGAAGATCTCTTTCATGTTAACAGATACGCGTATTCTCTCATCTAGTAATGATGCTACTTTTTTTCCTGATGGCTGGACTTTTTTTGACTTCCAGTGTAAGAAGTTGTTCCTAGATGAAGCTGAAGCAGATGGGATGTAATAATTCAAAACAATTTTTTACTTTTAACTTAATATCCTTATTTTGTTTTCCTTTTAAACCCAAAACCAAGTTATAACGTACTTAATTGTTGATGAGAGCCTGTTAAATTCATGTGATATTGTTTGTTCAACCAAAGTTAATGCATAGAATTATTCTTGTCTGATTAATTTTATATGGATGTATATACACACATCTGCCCACTATTTTTGCTATGCTATTTTTAATATTTAGATTTTCTAAGTATTTAAATGCCTGGGCTTCTAGTATTCTATAAATTACTCAAGTGCTGGTAATGACTACATCATTATTATAGAGCTGAGGTTTGCAGTGCAAGTAGAACTAAAATAATTGCTTCAATCATTTCAAATGTTAGGCTTCAAAATAAAATCAAAGGTTTAATTTTGAGTTTCCTAGGTTTCAAATGTTATTAACAACAGTTAACATTAAAAGGGGCTGTTGTTTGCTTTTTTTAACCCATTAGTAACTAATGTATCTGCTCAGACTTCTCTTCAGCTTTAGTATGCCTTTATTTTGCTTTACTTGGGAATGAATATTTCCTTCATCTTTACTGTGATTTTCAATAATGCCTGTCTTTCAGTCAGTGTTTCCTTTGAAACCTTCAAGGTACGTTTCCTTAGCACTCACTTTTTCAGCACAAAACATAATGAAAACTCAAGTGTATTGCAATTGTAGGCCCTGATGCTCCACTTAACTCTGGTTAGATGGACCTCTGCGTCTATGGAGAGCGTAATTGATGTCAGCAGGGCTCTGCACAGAAGCAGCAGTCTCGGTAGTGGGTCAAATTGCAGGATTGTGGCCTTATTACCACTGGCTCTACATTATCACTTATTATGTAAGATCACCAATAGTTATATTCGAAAGCCTTTCAGTAGGACTGTGATAGCATAACTTTTCAAATAGGATAAAGCTGGGTGATGGGCAATAAATTAAATTAGAATCAAGATGAGACCGTCAAGCGTTGCCACTTCAAGTTGAATTGCTTTGTTAAAATCTGAAAGGAAAAAGCCTTTTGAGTTCACATAGCTACCTCAACTCTTTAACATATAGATAGTAAAATGCCATTAGTGGCAGGCTTCTAGAGCCTTTGAGTCTTTCAGTAACGACAAGAGGTGCATATCATGGCATACTACATCCCAGTTAGGTAGTGGGTAAAAGCTTCAGTTGGGATTACAACAAAATGAAATTACTGAGAGGAAGTGCAGCACATCAAATTGAATTGAACTGCCAGAGCTGAAAGGCATCCTCCTCATACATTCAGCTAATTTTTTTGCCAGCTGGTTATTTCTCTATTAACCAAATAGTTGACACTCATGTACTTATCTCAAGCTTTAAAGCATAGGAGATACTGGGATAACCAATCAACTGAAAAATATTTTTAGTAGTAATGTTAATTCTGGTGGGTCCTGAAGTGTTTTACTGACTAGAAGCAGGTTATAAAGGGCAATAACAATTACTTGACTTGCATTTCACAAGCAGCCACATTGAGAGTGTGAGAATGTGGCACATTTCAGAATATACTGTAACATTACACATAGCTGTGGGATCCGTAGCATGAATACAGTGCATTATGAGGATTACCTAGGCTGGAGTTTGTCTGACGGAATACACAATTTAACACTTACATTCATACGACTAGCGAAATAAGATCCTCAGAGTAGGATTCATCACCCTTAAGTTTCTAAAAGTTAGACATCTGAAACTGTGCCGGTTACCCAGAGCTTCTCATGGAGGCACTGGAGAGAAACGCATCTCTGTGGAGGACAGGGCGTCTCATGTGCAGAGAGGCGTGTAGAGGACGCATTGCAGGAGTTGCTCTCTGGAGGTGCCTGTTTCTCCTCATGGTTACTGATGATTGATCAACACTGGCTCAGTTATCTAAATTTTAGATATGTGAATTTAAGAGGCATGAATCTTCATGCCTATGATCATAAATGGGTTCTCAGTTTGTAATCAGAAGCAAAGACTCCAGCCTTATGCTCTAGACTGGCATGGTAACAAACGTATTACCAGACTATTTACGTTACTTTCTGCATTAACCACCGTGGATGAGTTGGTAGAATCTGGTGGTTCTCTTCAATAGTGTCATTAAATGCAACAGAGCATGAACAGAGCTAGACTGAGATATGTGGTAAACCTTCCTACAGTTTGCATTATTTTCAAAGACTAGCAATGTCACAAAATACTCCTGCATTTTGTCCTGTTGGAATTTTATCTGATAGATAAAGACTGCTGGGCATAATTTTGCAATTTTGGTAATGGTTGCCTAGCAATGAGAGGTACTTGTGATGCAGGGCTTTGGATTACTTGGCATTAACCAGAACTGCCTTTTAGTCTGTAGGGATAACCTTCAAAATATATAGGGGAGAAATATCTTTCATAACATGTTTTTCTGCAATTTTTTAAATTGTTCTTGTCTGGAAAGTTTAATCTTTAATGACCTAGAGATGACTCATAAATCATCTTTTATGTATATATTTATAGGTTCTGCAAACATTTTTATCCATGGCTCAGAGCAGCATAATTCCCTGACTTCTGAAATACATTTCCTGAGGAAGCAAAATCAAGTCCTGAATGCAATGCTAGCAAAAGGATCCAGAGGTAAAAATGTAAAACTGTGCTTTACAGGAGTAGACTGCAACTCATTCCAGATCAGAAAACAATAAAATACTAACAGTCCATTCATTAAACTGACTTAACCATTCTTCCTACCCCTGAAATTCCATGCATTCAAACTGAGGTTAAAAATCATAAAGGAGTAACAGTAATGCTCCTTCTTTCTGTTCATTTGTAGCATTTTCCATTTGCTATTCACTTTCATTTCTCCATTCTTCTTTTTGGATTCCTTTCTTTTTAAACATTCTTTTTCCTCTTCCCCTTGGGCCTTTTATTAACATTTTCTTGCTCCTTTTTCCCCATTCGTCCATTCTGAAGCCCTCTTGGGAAAAAAAAAAGCCATAGAATAGCATTATTGTTGAAAATGAAACCAAGTGATACAGAAGAGTTTCAAAGGGAACTAATTACACTTAGGTTCAGAAGTCTGCTACAAAGGCTTGGCTGGACAGGCCAAGCCATCATCTTTTTGGAAACACTTTAGAAGAGAACAGAGCTGAGGGAAGCTATTTGGAAGTATTTGTAATCTCGGAGATTAGTTTTAAACTTCCCTCATTTTCACACCTGTGAAGAGAAAATATTCTTTTCCCCCCCGAAGTAAACCAACAACTCACCAGCTGGGTTCTTAAAAGCAGCTTAAGCCCCAATTAGGTTCTAAATCTCCAGATTTTCAGACTGTTGGTGTAAAAGCACTGGTGTTTCTTCCAGAGTCGTGTATTCCCTCACCGGTTTTGGTTCATCTTGGTGCTTATCAGTTTGTTCACATTCTACTTTTTTGATTGATATATTCCTGCTTTTGTTTGTTTCCACAGTTGACAATATGATCTGATAATATCAGGGTTTCTGTTTTATAAGACCCATGATGAATAGAACATTGTCGCCTGTGTGTTTTAAAATAATGTCAGGATCTCTGGAGTTTGTGAGATTCTTTTCCTTTTATTCCTGGATGCACTAGAGAAAGAAAAGCCTCTTAGATATCTCCTGTGTGTTTTGGTCTCAGGTGCTTTCTGCCTGTACTCTTAACTTAGCCCCTTCAGTTGTGAAAGGCTGGTGATGCACATTTTTAACAGCACATGGTGATTACCATTTTCATATGCTTTCAACCAGACTCGTGAAGACGTGAGAGTGATTTTCTAACTGTTGGGAGATGGAACGATTCCTCCCTGCTGTTTCTTTGCCAAGATTGCCTCCTTTTCCAATGTTAAACACAGGGTCACAAAATACGTGGGGTCCCCAGAAGCCGCCCTGATTGCAGCTGTCTTAAAATGCTGAGTTGCCTCTCAGCGATTCTTTGTCATAGAACCAGTTTGGGGAAATAGCTGGTGCTGGAGAAAGAAGGACTCATACGATACGTTTGGCAGATGAACGGATCTGGGAAGGAGAGGACAGAGGGATTTCTGTGTGACAAAGAGGAATGTGGATGCAGCATGCCCTTGAACAATCCCACTGAGTTCTCTTCTTCCTAAAGAGAAGTCAAATGCAGTATTTTCTGAGGATTGGCAAAATTCATGTGCCTGCTTTAGGATCCCGCTGCCACTAGTTGCTGAATACTATCCTTCTGGCCAAATTCAGAGGTTTTGGGGTCATTTGGCATAGAAGGCTGTACACAGGCTTTTTTTGAGCCTTTGTGAATCCTGGTGGTTAAATATTGCACATTACAGAAAATGCATCTAGCAAAAGTCATTAGAAAATTGAAATACTGAAATCCTAAAACTCACAAGAGCAGCTGTTATTTTCTGACAGTCTCTGAAAAAGCTAGTTTTGTTAAAAAGCATAGCCTTAGTGGGTTGTGGGCGTTGCAAATACCTTGTGTTTCTTCTTGTTTCAGATAAACAAAAGGAAAATGAAAAGTTAAGAGAATCTCTTTCTAAAAAGAATGCAATCATTGAGCATCTTCATGAGGATTATGAATGCATCAAAAAAGAAAATGAAAGGTTGCAAAAACAAATTGGTCAAAAGGAAGATGACATCAGATATCTGACATGTCAAGTTTACAGCAGTCGTAATGAGTTAAACAGGTATTGATTCTGTCCACAGTTAGACATTCATTTAGAGAAGAAAATTGTCAATGTGACAAGCATGTGTTTAGCCATAGCTATTAACATTAATGAGGTGTGTAGTTATATTCAAAAGGCAAGGGAAGAATTGCAGAGGAAAAGGGAATGGATTTTAGATTTTGAAACAAAATATAAGAATTTAACTTTTAACTTAGCCTTTTATTGGAACTTAACAGGTTGCAAACAGAAATTGATTTAAAGCAACATCAGGTCTGCGAGAATGAGAAGTTACTGCAGTCACTCCGAACGGAGATCAAGGTTTATGAAAATCTGGAAGAAGCAAGAAGGAAAAGGACAGGTATAAATGCAGAATTGTTTCTGTACCTTTAGCCCTGGCAACCCTTTTCTCTCTGAATACGATCTTGTCAAGGGACAGGAGGGCTAGGTCACTGTTTCTTTGTTTCTTCTTGTGTCTGCGATGCAAAGTAGAACTGACAACTTGATGACAAGATGCTACTTTCTGCTTAGGAGTGTAACTGCAAGGTTGAGATGTGTGGTATGGTCTGACTAGGCACACCCAAGTTTCTTTTTAGCTGAGCTGAAGATAAATACTGAAGATTCAGTGGCTCAGGCTGAGCCACTGAATGAAGCCATGAAGCTGCATGGGGATCTTAGATATTTACTTGTCATCTAAAGACATGCTTCTGCGTCCTCACAGGTAGTGCTTACTCAGGTAGCTTGTGCTTTCTCTTGCCTGAATATGAGGGTAGTGTCTTCTCCCTAGGGCTGGGGAGAAGTGCTGGCGTGGCTTTCTGAATGGGACTTCTAATAATTTCCAATCCGCTTTCCTGTCATGAAAGGTGGGGGTTGGGAATGAGACTTGCGTGGGTTCTTCCTACCCTTTTTAAGGAAACTGCATCACCATGCAGCTGTTGGTGTGGTTAGGTCAAAAAGTGGAATGCTGTTCATTGCTGCATACTCGTTACAGGATCCAGCATATTTCCCACTGGAAGTTCTTGTAAACGTTGATTATTTTTCTCCCTGCTACTTTAAATAATATGCCCTGCCATCACAGTATTTCGTGCCTAGCTGCAGCATCAGAGCCCTGTTGTTATAAGGCTTTAAGCCAAAGCTGGCTCAGGGATGGCCGTAAGTCTCCTTGCAGAACTGGTAATGTAATTGGAGTAGCAGCACCCTCCTCGTGCGGCTGAGCCCTTCCCACTGTCGGGAGAACAGTTTGATTTCAGCGTGAAAGAATACATGGAATTGTTTGTGTACTGACCTCCTTTTATGAAAAGACGAACGCAGCCCTGGCTCTTTTCAGGTTCAGATTTGTTCATCTGGTTGCCAGGTGATCACTATTTTCTTTTTTATTCTGTGTATAAAATTAAACTCCCAGTTCTACCCCATCCCTCCTCTACACTCCGAGATTACCCATTCCTTTTTCTTTGTCCAGACTGTGCATTAATGCACTTAAAATTTTGTAAATCCTCTTCATTCCCTTTTTATTATATCTTTTTGCTTTTGGCATGAGACTTATTAGCTTTTATGGACAAAGTGAAAAATAATTTTAATCTCTTTAAATCTTTCAAGGGTAGAAGCAATAAAAACATGTTTTTTTGTCAAACCATTATCTTAATGCCGTTTGTAGTTAATTCTAAATATTGAGGATAAAGCCGGCTATAATTTACTTGCTCAGCATTCTGATAATGGCTAATATTATTTTAATTGTTAAAGATGTTAAGTGTTTCTTTTGAAATTGTCTCAGATACCAGATGTGATGCGTCAGAAGAATTCCGAAAAGATCAGAATAATCCACTTGACTTACATGAACTATTGACTGAAATACAGAGTTTGCGAGTGCAGCTTGAAAGAAGCATCGAGACAAACAAGTCTTTGCATGAAAAATTAGAGGAACAGCTTTCAAAAGAAAAGAGAGAGGAAGTGGGATCTGTGTCAGCTGTGAATATCAACTATCTTTTCAAACAAGAATCTCAGCATTATGCAGCAATGAATGGTACTGTGCCGTACATGCTTTTGTTATACAGTAGAACCTGCGCCTTGTTCTTTAAAAATGCTGTTAAAGCCTCGTACAACATCAGCTGTACGTTTGGGAGCTGCCCATCAGCCTTTCAAATCCCTCTCCTGTTAGAGCTGTTAGTGCATGGGGAGGTGAAATGCCCGCTGCACTGTCTTATAGCCTCCAACTGCCACTTCCTTTTCGTTCGAGAAAAGCATTTGCAGACAGTCTCTGGGGTGGAAGGATGCCTACATTAAATTGCCATGAATTTTGCTTACCTGGGGGTTCTGTTTTTGAGGCAGAGCTCTATAGTGTTTGCTAAGGGTGACTGTGTATTACTTATGATCAGTAAGTGCACTAAATGGTCTTTGTATAAATCAGTTGTCCCCTTTTTGCCCTTGAGGAATATTTTACCTTTATTTCAATCACTGTTAAGTGATACTGTTTTAGCAGATCAGGGAAAACGTAGTATTTACACTCAGGGTTAGATTATTGTCCCAATATAGATGTACATGGGATGCAGAGGGCACAAGAATGTTCTTCCTTGCTGCTAAAATGTTCTGCACAGTGGCAGCTTTCCATGCTTACAGCATAAAGCCACCTCTCCTGCTGCCTGTACAGGTGTACATTGTGTGACGGGAACCAATAATGATGGGGCTTTTTGGGTCCATACACTTCACCTGAACGTACATACGTAAATCTTATGCAGCACAGAGAGCGAGCAGCACCAGTCAGAGGGTTAGTGTGAATGGTTTTCTACCACCTTACTTCTTTTGTGGGTTCATCATGTCCAATCAGAATTGGACTTCAGCTGAAATACATAATGAGCATAACTTGACGCTACTCTGTACAAGTAAGAAAGATGCAGAATGTAGCAAATAATATTTATGGGCTGCTACCATTCTCTGTGCACTTTATACTTGAACACTAAACTAAAGTCATGTGCTGCATATGGGGCTGGTTCCTTAGGGTCAGTCATGAGCAAATAGGTGTGGAACAGCTGTATATTGCTTTTCCCCTGCATCAGCCAGAGTGGTTAGGAGCTGAAGAAGCTCATTGAGAAAATGGTGAATAGAGTTGTAATGGCTTGGTCTGAGATGCATCAGAAAGACTCCTTGGAACGTCAACAGCTGAAGTTGTTAGCTTTCTAGATGTACTGAGTAGTCTTTACTGATAGGTACTTGGAGAATTTGGGAGGTCTGAAGAGGGGGAATATAGATATGATCTTGAGTGTGGTGTGGCTGTGGACAGTGTCATACTTTTTGTGGAGTTAATGGGAAGCTTACATTTGTTGATGAGAACACCTTCATCAGGATGTATTTTAGATTTTCTGAATGTGACTTGATTTTGGGAGATATCTAGAACTGTGGAAAGATGCTAAAAAGATTAATGTAGGTAAATACTGAAAGATACGTGGTGTGGTACTAGAAAATTAGCTGTGTTTCCCTGCTTCTTGAGTCCAAGTGCAGCATCAGCAAAAAAAAAGGAACAGAAGTAAAGCCTAGAAGTTTTTTTTAATGCATGTTAACTTCTACTGACATACTTTTCCTTGTCCTGTTTTTGTGTATAGAAAATCTTTGCAAATGCCCTGCTACCAGCAGAAACATTTGTGAGCAGAAACATGGACATTGCATTTTGCTAGCGAAAACAGGTATATCCAGAAGTGCGTGTTATCAGTGTCCTAGACTTGCTGTTTGAGAGAAGTCCAGTGTCAGTTCTACCTGTAAGGATAAAAATAGTTAAATGGTCTTTCTGTCCCAGGTACGCACTCAGCCTCTAGAGACGATTTAGATTGCACTTCCCACTGCAGCAGCGCTTCATCTTCCAGTACGGCGTGTACCCCGCGTCTTGTGCCTGGACATCGTATGTGGGCAGACAAAAACGGGCGCCACGTCCTTGGCTTGATCGAGGATTATAATGCTCTGCGGAAACAGATTTCAGAAGGGCAACAGGTTTTATCAGAAATGGAGATTTCTTTAGGAGAGGTCACTGGTATGAAACTGCAGGAGTCTGGAATAAAGGTAAACAGTGAAGGCTGTTAGAGGATGGTGAATTTTGCGTAGAGGTGCAAAATGTGTACATTACAAAAGCAAAGAACTAGGTTAATGGTGCAGCAGGCACCATTGACTGAATAGCTCCGTCAGGACACCTCAGCCTTGACAGTCCAACTCTAATCTAGATACAGGCACATATTTGTGATTCTGGGTGAATGAGTCTACGGGTAAATTAGTTGATTCTGGTCCTTTAATAAGCACTCTCACTTTTACTTGCAACTTGAAATGTGGTGAAACTACTTGCTTTTACTATGGAAAATGATGATAGTTACACTGGAAATGATAAAAAAGCCAAACAAAAACAACAACAGAAAACCCCAGGTAAAACTCTGAAATGCTTTAGAAAGGGCTATGTATCAGTAACCTAAGGATAAAAATAATTAAGGACATTTTCTTGTAATAAAACCTTGGGATATACCCAGGAAATATGAGACAGTTAAAAGAAATGTGATATACAGCTGAAACATTCCCTACTTACTCGTATTCAGCCCTTTAGTAACACCAGGTGATAACTGTATATTACGTGAATGGTTGAAAAATTACATGTAATGCTTTCCTGCCTTGGAGTGGGAAAGTAAACTAGGTGACTAATGAAGGTCCTTTTCACCCATATGATTTTATGATAATATAAAACGTAAACAATATTCTCACTGCTCTTCAAAAACCAGAAGGTCTTAACTTCACGGATTAATTTGCACTACTGATTTTTCTAGTTATAATTAGTAAAGCTATTGAACATGCAGTCTTCAGCAATTCTGAAATTCTTTTTGTGATATCACATGTGTGCTCACACAATAAAATGATGTCTGAATGACACTTAAGACTCTCTGAAGTATCACATATTTTCAAATGACCTAGTTAAGGTGCTGATAATGACTGAAAAAGTAATCTCTGTAAGTTTTTAACTTGTTTTGTTGTTGTAAAGATAAAAGCAGCAAGTTTCACAATTTGCAGTTCCCTATCAAGTTTTACATCGCTGAAGTTTCAAACTACTTAGCAAATGGGATATTTCATGTGACAGGAGGATTCTGGTTAGATAAGAATGCTAAAGAAGTGTTCAAATGATATGCTGCATGGGGCAGGAGCTCTGAATGCGTTTCTTTCATTACCCTTCCCCCTTCCGTATTGCCATTGCTTTGGTAATTCATTTGCTCCCCTTGCATTCTTTTGCTCCTTTATTTCACATTTATGCAATTTCTTCAATTTGGTTTTCTCATCTGTCAGCAGAGGAAAACATTTTATGTGTGTCCTGATAGTTATTTTAGCATTAAATGGAACAGTTTAAAGGGTCTGCTAAGGAAGAAACATCTATATCGCTCTAAATTGATGTCTGTAATCATTTGACTTTCAAATAAGGTGACACGAAATGCAAGTGGAGAAAGAAAAGATTTGCCCACTATTACCATGTGGCGTAGCAAATCGAGAAAATATAATCTATTATTAATCGTGGTTATTGATTAGGATAAATCCCCTCCCTTCCTGAAATTCTCAGATAATGCATAATTCAGCAGTCTTGGTAAACTAACAAATTAGCTTTGGTGGCACACAATAGCTGTGTACATCATCTTAAATATTAAATCATACCAACTGGATTTAAACCATTAATTAAGAGTACATTTTCATAATGTTTTAAGCATAAAATTTAACACGTCTTTAATCCTATGATATAGGTACCAGACCAGGCATCACTGCACAGCTTTTCTGCAAACATTCACACAGTACAACAGATTTTAGAAGAGGCTGCACGTCTACTGAAACTCCTCTGGAGAGTTTCCCTGCCGCTGAAAGCCGTACACGGTACTACTCATGGCACTCAGGTACTATTATGTTTCATTTGGGGTTTTTTGTTTTTTGGGGGGTGTTTTTAACTGTTGTAATGTCTGAAGGAAGATGTGCCAGTTAGGAACATGTCATTTGGGAAAGTCTTTTGAAAATAATGAACCCAGGAGGCCCAGTCTCTGGACGCATGGCTTTAGGCAGCTCTCATCACTGAGGGCTGAGGCTGAATGTGTGCTGGCCTGCTGTCCCGATCGTATTGTATACCAGGGTGTTTATTTACGAAATACTTTGTATTACAGATGTAATCTGTGACCCTGTAACGTGACATTCAGGAAACCTAGGCAGGTGTCAAACGTTCAATTTCAACAAGAAAAGGTTTGGACTCCATGTTATAGAACCAAATTCAATTTGATTATGTATACGAGTAACAACAGAAACTTCAGCAACTTTGATGTAATCTGAGCTACATTTTCCTTTTATGTTTTTGATCCCTAAACTGTAAAATAGGATGCTTTTGAAGAGTGTGACCAAACCTCGAGACAAGTTTTATAACTTTTTAACTAAAAAGGATTGCACTATGCAAATGAATGGAAGTAAACTGAATGGGGAATGAATTATCTGTTCTGTCATAACACCACACTCAGTAATGAAACTGTTTCAAACTCACACTTTAGAATAAATCTAAAGTGTTTTCACTGAGGTTTTTGTATGTGTTTCTTAAGGGAGGCAGAATATTGCTGGGGAAAAAAAACCACTTTAGGAAAGTAAACATTTTATATATAATTTTAATAACATTTTTATTGTTATGGTCTGGCATCCTTGAATGTGTAAAGTCACAAAAGCAGTAAGAATGAACTGTGCTGTCTAGTATACTTCACTGATGTTTCAGCTCCCTATTTGGGATGTCTTGATAAGTGTGTATACTTCCATTTTTATCCTTATGTGTATATTCTGTATAGACAGCTACGTGTTAGCCCTGGTTGCAGGCTCTGAACATATCATGCACACACACACAGGTCTTTCAGTGTACATGCCATGCATCTAATGCTTTACTGTCACACTGATCTAAACCTTCTTGATCTGGATCAGTCACTTCTCAAAATCTGACCTCCATGTGTGGAGGATCTGAGTTCCCAGGACTGCACCTAGTTAGAGTTAATAGAATCTTTTCTAGAGTTTGTTATCCAACATCCTGAGATCTTAAGGACATTTGATTGCTTCTGATGTCTTAAATGTAGTATATGAAAGAATATCTCTCGAAGCCTGATTCTAAAAGATACTGACTGAGCATTCGCTGCCTTCTTTTCAGTCCCACAGGAGGTGTGAGTAATCAGTTCTTCTGACGAGCTAAATGCTAGGGGTGAATTCCAGAAGACATTATTAATTAACAAGTGGCACAGCAAGAAGAAAAATGTACGAGCTTAAGTTTGCATGAGGATCCAGATCAGTGATACCGGCAGAATTTCAGAGCTACTCATAGTCCTGTTTTAAAAGATACTGACCGTAACTTAGTTGGAATTGGTGGTGAAAACTGAACCTTGAATAATGACACTATCAAATTATTTTGCAATAGAAGTATCCCGGTCATCCGTACAATGCCTTGCAGCCCTTTGATAAAGGCAGCATCAACTATTAATAGAGCACTGGAGAGGAAAGCTGGAAGTTCTGAACCGGCAGACAGGATACTTGCTGATCCCATAGCACTGACCTTCGTTATATTTTCTAGATGAGAGGCAAAAAAAAAAAAAGAGAGGAATGGAAGTTGAAAAACAAAAATAGCCGCTGGTGTTAAAAATTTACTCAGACTAGCAGAAAAATTACTTGCACTAAAAGTCAGTGAAGAATTGTAGTTGTCTCTTTGCAGATGTCGTAGAACCGTTCGTCACTGGGGGTGGGAATGTGGAAGGACAGGCACTCAGTGCTTTCACTCCTTTATGTTGTTCATACTCTAAGGAAGCTTGAGGGCTCTTGTGCAAAAGTATTTAGCCATTAACCTGTACAGTTCTTTTATGTAATGCTTTAATATAATATTTTCTTCTCTCAATTTAGGATGAAGGAATGAAAGCAGAAATATTTCGGTTACGTAAGAAACTATCCGAGCAAGAGAAGAAGTTACATAGCACAGTGAAACGCTTGCACTCCACAAACCAGCTGAAGGAAAACATGGAGAAAGTCATCATTGATCAGTGTAAGTGTATGCTTTATTGCGGGTTCTTTTGCATTGCCCTGACTGACGTTTCCTTGTGCGCACTCACAATTCGTGAGGCTCAGACTGCACGGAACTGCTGCAGCCTCATTCAGATGGAAAGAAGCTGCCCAGCTACAAAAGGCTGCATAGAAGAACACGAGAAGCATTTCATGGTTTTACACAACTGACTGATAATGTGTCAATCTGTGCAGCTGCCGCTAATTGCCACTAATTACTTGAGTTATTCCATTTCAGATATTTCCATTCCACAACAGTTTTCTATCCTACAACAGCTCCTGACAGAGGCAAAGTTACTACTGCTGTAGACCGTTCCAGCCAAAGTTTTTGACATTGCCTTGCTCAAAATTGTGATTTTGCCTCAGTCTTGATAAATGTGGAATCAGGCTTTTAGATTTTCTGAGGTACCTGTCTGCTGCGCGTGTTGCACTAGATAGCTGAGTACTGGGAAAAGCCAAAGCAGCAGCAAAGGAGTTTTTTCAATGCTCTACACCAGACTGAGAAGTGCGAGGGAACAGAAGGCTCAGAACAAGAGAAACAACAGCTTACTATGAGTCATTTTTTAAAGAAAAATTAGGACATGCTGTGAAATGATATTTTGCTCTTCGCAGCCGTATCTAGAAAATTATCTGGAAGCATGAAAACAAGTGGGACGTGGGCTATATTGTAGCGGTGTTAAGCCAGGTGACTGTTTTAAGAGATCCATCTCTTCTGCTCTAATCACTCATCAGAAGAGATCTGAAGGGAGCTAAGGTCTGCTCTACCTTCATGCTATGGCAACAAGTATATTGTGGGAGGAGGATTTAATTTTCTTCTTGAAAAAAAATGTATCCTTACCTTCTCTTAAGAGGTGGGACTAAATGACTAATTAGTCTGTGCTGGAATGGGACTTGTGTTACCAGTAATTCATCTACACTGTACAATGGTACACATCATACAGAGTTATGAAAATGGCCATAATACCATGTTACTCAAGTCATTTAAATGCAACGTAGAGGATTAAATGTTATTTTACTCCATAGCCTGTAATTTTTCTATCTAAGATACATGTATCTCCTGCCTGCTGATTATTACTTTTTTTTAAGCATTTATGGGCTGGTTTTTGGTCACTTCTTTCGGAATTGTTGCATTAAATGATGTTCAAGTTAACTTATATTAAATCCAAAATTATGTTTTGTTCAGGTTTTAAATTTCAGTAGCTCACTTTGGGATTGTCATATAAAAATCAAAGCTATTCTATTACATCTGTCCAAGTAATATCCCTGGGGCAGATTTGCTGGTTTAGTTTGGTCAGTTCCTAGTCCCAGTGACATCTCAGACATACCGGGTAATTTCAGTAGGGCTGGGCAGAGTATAAAGCAGCAGAGGTTTTACCCTTACGGCCAAAATGTTATCCCCACAGCCACTCCACCCACCCATACTTTCAAAAAGAAAACGGTGCATGGCCCTCTTATTTTGCTCACTCCTTTTCAGGGCATTCAGCTTCATCTGAACCAGGTCCTACGGAAACAAAGCCTGCGTTTTCTGACGTCTCCTTAATGCAAAGTACTGCCTGGCTAGCAGCAGCTTCGCTATTAGTGTCACATCCTCTAAATTCTCTTCATGTACTGAATTTAATATTTTTGATTTAGAAAAATCTAGTTTGCCAGGTGAAATGACTTTACTAGTGGAGTTCTTTACGAGCAGAGAGCACTCTGCTACACAGAAGGACCCAGATATGATTTTCTGTAAGTTTCATTGATTATGGGAATTATGGATGTCAAGTTACGTTTGCCTTAAAGAACAATTTCAGAAATGTTTCTAAATTGCATCTGTACACAAATTCCTGACGAAGCACACAGCAAAACTGGTGGATCATACAAAGCTGCTGGGTTTTGTTAGGATGCTTACACTTGTTTTTTGTTGTTTCTTCCTTTCTCTGTTTGCTGGTAAGAAAGCAAAGGCACCGTAAGAGGTGACCTTGCGTTCCTTCATTCTCCAAACAGCCTGTTAGCTGGCCACTCCGCTGAGGATATTCAAGTTCCCTTTGTCATTTAGCTGAGCATTCCTAAATATATTTAGAGGCAGAGACTGGAACATTCTTGTGGCTCAGAGTCTTCTGTGTGCTTTCTCTGGCAAGAGAACTCATTGCTTATAAACCTCATCTGAACCTCTGAACATGTAACAATGCAGTGCCAAATTGCAGTAATCTGCCAAGGGTGTAATTATCTCATGACAGCTATACCCTTGGAGTTGTTGGGTTCTTATTATTGTAATGAAAAATCTTTATTATGGCTAAATTGTTTATTTTTGAGACTGGAATGTTAAATTGGTACTTGTGAATGGTATTTTTCAGCAGTTATGGAGCTGACAGAGATTAGAGAATCCCATATTTAACCTGACATTTCTAAATATCAGTTTTGTTTAGAAGCATCCCCTCCTCCGTTCACAGGTCTCGCGCTGTCCCCACAGAGCCAGACTAGCTGGATGAATAGAGAAAACTTGGAACCCTTCAGAGCAAGCCACTGACGTGATTTCCCCTAAGCATATCTAGGTTACTTTGTCCTTGAACTGCTGGAGGAGCTGGCTGACTTCTTTTGCCATCTGTCCTCCTCCCAGCCCATCGTCTCCCATAACCTCTCCACTGCACAATTTTTCTCCCTCGCCTGCTAACCACCCCCACCAGCCCGAGTAGGCTACCTGGTAGATCAAATTGTAGTTAGCTCATGCTTAAAATTAACAGAAAGTCTGTCTTTGATTAAGAGAACCAGGTCATCAGTATCACAGGGGGCTGTTCATACCTGTCATGTTAAATGTAGTGATGAGCTAGGTGTGGTTTCAGATCTATCCTTCTTGGTATGGTTGAAAACTTTAAAACCAGTTCCCTGATGTTTCGATCTGCAAAGCAGATGGTGCGCTAGATGGACCGCGGGCTGGGGTAGGAAATGGCACTGCTTCGGACCAGCCCGGCGGTCCTGAGCGAATCCTCCTGCTCTTCCCTGACTCTGATTGTAGGGCCTTGCCCCGTGGTCGCGGGTCACTGCGGCTGGAGGTTTGCGCATCAGCCGGAGCGCCTGGATGGGAGGAACGGTTCTGGGCTGGTGGTGAGAAAGCTGAAGTGGTGGTAGGGGGCTGTGTGTGCTTGCCTGGGCGCTGCCCATCGCGTAGATGTGAGTTCATGCGTTATTTAATATTTGGTCGTAAGACTTGAATACAGGGACTATAGAAAGATAGTGCAGTATTCTTCTTAATCTCCTCTTTCTTTCCAGTGGTTTTAACTCATGATGTCTTGAAGAAGGCTAGAGGAAACCTGGAAGTAAGTAAAAATTTTTCCTTGCATTTAATTCCTTGGTATATATTCATTAGAAATATGCATTGCTGCGTCAGCAGTATTTTGCAGAATTGGTCGGATTTGCTTTAGGTTTGCTGCTTAATCCAGTCTGGGTGACAGCAGTTTAGTATGATAAATATTCTGCAATGTTTGAGGTTTAAATCAGAGTTTTATAACTGACCACGTAAACAGCTAAACCCTCTCCTTTCTGATGCTTTCCCTAGATTAATATTCATGTCTGTCATCTTCTTCCAGTAGTTTATTTTCAGCAGATCACAGTCCAATAATGTGTCTGCTGAAAAAGTTCACAGAAGGCACCCTTATTTAAAGCTTGTGTATGTGTTAATAACTGGGGCTGCTTTTTTTTTTTTAATGTAGACCCAATAGGCAAAGCTTTTGCAAACAGCTGTTTGCTAATGCAGTGTATTAAATTAGTTTGAGTGTTTAAGTAATCACTGTTCAGATTTGATTTCTCCCAGAAGGTTCAGGCTTTGCTCCCAGAAGGATGCAATACACCTCTTGACTCCGAAATCCCATCCTTCTCACCACTCCACTCTGAATGATTGTGCACTGCCCAGCCCCGCCTTGAGTTTTTCTCTAACCTTGTCCGTGAATCTCTTCTCCCTTCTCCTCAGCAGAACTCCCCAAGCAGCTGCTGTACTCGTGCCTCAGCCCTACCTGAGTTAGAAAGTGATGACATTAAAAACTCTTTCTGCTTACAGAAGTCTTGGCACTTTAATTTGAAGATTTGCTGAACGCAGACGCTCCTATTTGCAGTGTTACGGCCCTGGGGTAGGGACAAGTTGTGTGCATTGGAAGTACTGTGAAATAGTAATAATTACTGCTTTTCTAACCAGGTCCCGCCAGCCGAGAATCAAAACTCACCTTCCTGTACCAGCAAAAAGAGGATTCTCTGAAGGAGAACGTTCCACTAGTAAAGACTGGTCCTGTGAGTTATTTGCTTCTTTATGCCTTACTATTTATTGGTGTAAAAATGTTTATTCAGCTCTTTTAATGGAATCAGCCTTTGACCAAAAAAAGAAAAAAAACAAAAAAGAAATCTTTTGGTAAATAACTTATTTAACATTTTCTGTAATGTAAAAAATTGGTTTTAATATTTATTACAGAAGCAAGGTACTGGAGGTATTGAAGAAAAATCCAGATTTTTTTTTTAAAGTTGGCTCATTTGAAATTTTGTATTTGTACTTGTCGTGTTATAAAACTATTTGCTGTTCTAGTCAAACAGGTCCTGAAAGAATCAAGAACGTGATCCACCTTCCAAACTGTTTCTCTATTGCTAGAAGAATGTAGGTTAAAAAAATTTTTTTTAAAATTTCTGCCGGTTGTCATTGTTTTCTAGCAATATGAGAAATATTCAATATTTTAAAGCATTTTAAACATATCTGGAAGATTCTTCTGGAAGCTGCCTGATGCCGAGCTTTCTTACTGCCCTATTAGAAGCTTAGATTGATGCTAGGTCTGAAAATATTACTTGGAATCAGACAATTAAAACGAAAAATGATTACCAGTGTGTTTGTGGTATTTTGTTGGAAGCACCAGACCGTGAGCACTGACCCGACAAAGCAGCCCCCTCGGAGTGCAGCAGCCGCGGTGCTGAGGCAGGTGGAGCCCGGGGCCGGGGAATGTGCCTTCCAGGAGCCGTAACTGCAAGACATCGTGCTGTTGGCAGGACATTGGCGTCACCCCCTCGCCCTCCCCGGGAGCTGTGCAGGGGACAGGCAGCCACGTGAGGGACACAGCTGAGCGGTTTTGAAATCAGTTTTTCTGCTAAAAGCTGTGAAAATGATTCTTACATTTAAATAACGCCTTTACTATGTTTTTTTAATCTCCCGTGTTGACACAGGTAATAGAGGTGTTTTGGCAAGGCCAGAGAACACCGGCATGAACCAGGCCACGTCGCGCTGCCCTTGTGCTCCGCTCATCCTGCCCGGTGCCGCCTCGGGTTTGCCTTCAGCTGGGGCTGCCTGGCCCTCGTTTCGCAGCAGCGCTGACCGCCTGCAGCCTGCTCCCAGTGACACAAAGCGAACCGGGAAAACAGTTTAGTTTAACCCTAACAAGACCATAATTTAAAGTGATTCTGCATTACAAGAGTAGACTTTATGGTGCAGTCGTGGCTTTATCAAACTAAATGAATTTCAGGCAAAATGGGATATTTTTATTTCCCCCCAAACTGATGCTGTCCCCGTTACACAGGATAACTTGCCCTCGTCAGCCAAGGAGGTTGGCACCGGGTCTGGGAAACCTCGGCACGGGGCTGTGGTTGGATTGGGTCCTTGGATACTGCACTTGCGAGAAAAAACAACGTGTAATAGGCCTGCACAAAAAACGGATCTGTGCTCACTGCAACATGGCTGCAGGTGGCCCTCGCTTGCACCCGCGGAGCTGGCCAAGATCCAGGGGCTGTGCTGACTGCTCCGGTAGGTCACGCGCAAGGTGTAGAGGTGAGGACAACTCCGAGTAGCTCCCCTCCTTCCACTAAAGCCTTGGGGCGTTCAGATTAGTTTCCCAGCAGGTTGATGATGTCCAGCCAGCTCGGACTCCCACAAAGACACGCTCAGTCCCTTTGCCTCTGAAGTGCAGCCTGATACGAAATGGTTGGAGCTGTTGCATCCTCCCTTTGCGTGGACCTGCGCTCCTGAGTCCAGGGCCGTTGCCACCACAATAGCTAGGTATCGCACGGGTCACGGGTAATTGGGTGCTCGGTGCCGGTTCGTGGGGTGGCCTGTCATAGTCCGGACTCCCACCCAGCCCTTCTGCAAGTCATTTTTATTACAGAAAACCAGCATCAAGCCAGGCACTGTCAGGGTGCCCGTTGCCGTGGTCCCGGGTCTGACCTGCTCTTTGTGAGCTCTCAGCAATGGGCCTTCTCTGAAGTGTGAAAATGGATTAAAGGGGGGGGTCCCGCAGCCTGCCTGGAGGCGTCGTGCTCCGAGAAACGTTACAGGCCTTGGAGATGCCAACGTGCAGCCCTTACCTGGGTTGGCCTGAACCTCCAGCTCCAGCTGGGGCTGCTGAGCCCTTGCACCCTGAGTCCCTCAAGGGAAACGAGAGCTCAGTGACAAGACCTTGTTGGCTTCAGCTGGCAGCAGGGGGAGGCAAACCCGTTCGTCTGGATGAGAGGAAAGATGCCAGAAAAAAACTGGAAAAGTTAAAAATAAACTTTGCAAATTGGAAAGGGGGAGGTAAGGGAAGAGCATGCAGTCAAACTTGTTCTTCAGTCTCTTCACACATTATTGTCCTTACAGCTCACTGAAAACGTCAAGTTAATTTTACTAAGTAGCTAAATTATAGACACTCAGATGTAATCAGAATCTGCTATACATTTCAACTTTCAAAATTAATCATCCTACGTTTTTGAGTTATAACACCTGAAGGAAACAGCTGTACGTCTATATATAGCACACCCATGCCTCTTGGTCTGCTTGCAGCCTTTCTTCCCTCCACACCATCTGCACGTAAAAATGAATAAATAAATAAATAAATTAAATGTTTCCTGAGATGATTTGCCACTGACTTCTTAATGGTCCCTGCTGAGCTTTTCTTCCGACCCCTTTTTCCTTCCCCTCAGCTCCGAGGGCTGCAGCCAGCTCGCAGCAGAGCGTGCGTTCGCTTGTGTGCCGGGCAGGGGGACATGATTCTACGGGATCAAAGTATTTCATCTTAATGAGAAGTGCCTCTTAAACAATCACAATTTACTGGGCCGGTTTAAAAATAATTAAAAAAAGGGAAAAAAGCCTACCAGATGGAGGGCTGCAGAAGACAAAGCTTATGGAGTGTTAAACTTTGTTCCCATTAAAGAAAATTAAATTTTCCTGTAAAAATAATGATGTGGGAGAAAAATAAGCAACATAAGCAAACGGAATTACAGGAGGGGCTCATTCGCCTAGCGAGTCCCTGCCCGTAGTTGCGTTACGTGTGCAAGGTGATTTGAAACCTCCCTGGGAGCGCAGCTCGCGTAGGGGTGGGAGACCGGCGGGTCCGCTGGCTTCACCGGTGACCTTGAACCGCCCCGCTCTTCTCCCAGGCCTGCAGGCGGCAGACAGGCTGGGGGCGTTCTTAAGGGATGCCGAAGGGCTGTTGAGAT